ACATTCTGTCAGTATTTTAGGATTATGCAGTTTCCATGGCAATTTCCAGGCCTATTGGAGCTGATAGTTGTGATAGATACCTGCCCATATCCTCCCACACACCTTGCCATGCACAGCCATCCTGCTGAACACAACTTCACTCTGTTTTGCACACTTAGGCTAAGTAAAAATATTTTGTTCATATGCTGAATATCTTCAATGCAGAATTAGAAAACAGGTAACAATACTATGCAGTGCAACATGAAAACTTTTTTCACCACTGTGTAAGATCATGCTACTTAGAATATCCCAGGTCTATTCAGAAACTTCCACAACTATTTTAGCTTACCTTCAGTAGAGAGCGTACTTACTGGAGTTTCTGCAGTAAGGTTCCTGAAATCTGAGAATGAGTACCCTGCTGTGTGCATGTATCAAATTAAATCCATAATTGGTATAACAAGAGCACATGTTATATATAAACCAGCAAAACCATGAAGAAGTCTAGGCCAGCCTTCAAGAGACAATAAACATCCCAGAGCTAAGAAAAACAGCATTGGAAGCAAGTGAACACTGCATGAAAAGTCCAGCACTGTAACCAACAGCCGTTATGGTACTAACACAGCTTGTAACAATCTAATTTAACACTTTCAGGTCAGATTGGTCATTATCTCAATCCTGTGAGCCGCACACTGAGCTGTCCTTGCTGGCGAGGCAGTACGAGAAGGTGAAACTTCCTTGGCTCTGAACCACTGTGCTCAGCAGCATTGATGTGTTATCATGATTGTTTTTTCTCCTGAAGGTAAAACAGCATCATACTGGACTCTGTGAAGAAAATAAACTGTTTCATCTGAAATGAAAACAATATCTACATACATTTTATAAAGCATACATACTCCCTTTTATCAATCAGTTGTGATCTTTCTGAGTAAAAAAAGCAGGTTATGATCCACTTCTTCCAAGTCAGTCGTGTATGTGAGTCATATACTTTTCTTGTAATCTGTTGAAATTTAATCTATAGAACATGGTTGGATAGAATATTTCAATAACAAATTTGCTTTTTTTTTAGCTGAGAGGAAGCAAGCTGTATTCTGGTATTTGCAAATCAGGTTGATCAGGGTCATGTAGAATGTTAGACCCTCCTAAAGTATTTGTTATTTGTGTTGGTTTTTTTTTTTATTCTTCCCCTTTTTAAAGTTGGAGTGTTACATTTTGGCTTTATTTTTTCCTTATTCTCTGATATTTTGTTTTGTCAGAGCAATCCATGATGTGCTTGACCAAGTGATCATTTGTTCTAGCCCCGTTCCACTACAATTTATTGTTGTGTACCACCACTGCTGACTAGGATGAAAAAGTAGAAGGTATATGACTTATTAGGGAGCAAGGATGCCATCTGTACATTTTGCATTTCCATGACTGTGCAACAAAATAAAAGGCTATGGTTTCTTGAACTATTACTGTTGCAGAAAATTACTCCTTTCTATACATTTGTCTACAGTTCTCCAGACTCCTGTTGTTAATAATCTCTTTGTAAGATGCAGGACTTAGTTTTATTTGAAAAGCCAAAAGGAAATCTTAAATTGCTAAATACAGTTATTTACAGATTATATTAGATGGTATTGGAATATTTGACTTAAAGTTCTTGTTATCACACAGGTTTTGGAGGGGAAGAAGAAGAAGGAACCACGTTGACTTTTTAAAGTATTGACTAAAATTGAGTTTTTTTAAGATGACTCTTCAGTATTCCTAGTGAGCTTCCTGAAGCCAGTGACTTTTCCAGCAATTCATATCTAAAGACTGCTTTTTAAACTACCAGTTTCTGTTTAGGTCTTTTATTTTGTATCCCTAACTGATTTGGATGAATTTTTAAATGAACGTTAAATCATGCTATGCTGTTCGGTACTTTGTCACTTTGTGTTTTACTTTCATTGGTAACAGCCTTTCAGTTTCTGCAGTCACTGCGAATCACATACCTCTTCAAGAAAGGATGGGTTCTGTACTTGTCATGTAACTGAGAGCCTGGTGCTCAGTGAGAATATTTCTCTGGTAGCTGTAATAGCTACTTTATTACTGTTATTTTTCTGAAAGGCACATGAGAGCTGTGAGGAAATCACCTTTGGATTCAGTGTTGAGGGTGGTGGAGACTCGTGGCACTGTAGAAATTGTTTCCATATGGTCATGGTTCTAATTTTAGCTATTTGTCGTTGGCACTTAAAGCAATATTTCCGTTACTGGGAAAAAAAAAAAACAACAACAACATTAATATGGATCTTCTTTTTGTGGATTGTTAATGGCAGCCTTTGTTTGTAATTACCTATTTTCTTACAGGCATGCTGTTCTGATCTGTGAAAGGCTTTTCATTGAAGGCTCAATCTATAAAAAATGACAATATGTATTTAAGGGTCTTCAGTAACAGTAGTTAGCAAATAAAAGTTACATGGAAGTGGGAAAAGATTTTTTTAATCCACTCGTATTTGTGTTTAGGTGTTGCTAGACTACCGGAGTTTGTCTCCTGCACTGATTTACATTCTTGGTTGTTGGCTTCAAGAACCTGACCAAGAAGCTTTGATTTCATGACAATTGCTATGTAAGATTTCTCTTGAAGGCTTGTGCAGGTGGCTTTCAGTGCCTGAAGACCACTTTTATTCCACTTACAACCAAGCCTTTTGGTCATCTACTGATCCTTGTTCCATAAACAAAGCTATAACCTTGTGAGAAAGGAAATGCAGCAATTCTGAGAATTGCTTTTTCCTTATTTTAACCAGCTTTTAATGAAAAATGCTCAGAAGTAAAAGCAAGGGATTATTATAAAATCCTGTCGGGAAATATGATTTCTTGGGATTTTTTTTTTTTAATTTGCTGGTATATACAGTAGTTTTACTTAAGCCTTAAGAAAATAGGATGGGTGAATTGAGTTAAGATCTGTTTTCCTCCTGAAGCTAAAGAGTTCAATAATTGTAAAGAGGAGTGTATGTGAAAACGGTGTGGAAAATTATGGTTAGGTAGGATGCAGAAGTCCACAAGAATGGGGATAATCACAGCCCATGTAGGACAATTTTTTTTAACTAGTAGATATTGTTAGTTCTACCTCAGGACCTCAGCGTAGATTTGTCAGCTCTGCTTGGAAGAATGTCTGTAGTAGAGCTTCTCATGTGTATGGTCCTGGTTTGGTTACAGATCTGAGCTCCCATACTGAGAAAGAAGAACTGCTATCATTGTTTCCATGCATGCATGGCAGTTTACCATCTGAAAACCTTCCAGTGCTTACTGAGTTTCTCAAGTGGGTGTACAAGGAGGCTTATTATGTTTCCACTGACATAGAAGGGAGGCATCTGCAAGCCTGTGTTTGTGAGAAGCCGCTGAGAAACCAGGCTTGTGTGGGAAGTGATGACCACTTCTCAGTATGCAGTGAGACTGTGAGCTGTGCTCCCTGCTTTGTAGAACATTCTCTGAAACATACTGCATGGCGTTCAGTCTTTACGGACATCCTGAAGTTAGTTACAATGAAATTTACAAAATGTGTTGTTCAGGGAAGTATTGATTTTTTATCTTGGTTTAAATAGACATTCATAAGAGCAGGAAGTGTGGCTCATATAGTTCTAAAGAAGGCGAAGACTTTCAGTTTGTGATACAGGTACAGCTGAAATCTGAAGCTGGTTTGCAGGGTGTGACAGTTTTCGGCTGTTTACTCTTGTCTGCAAACTACTCCTACAGCTTAGAGTTGTTTTGCAACATAGGAGACTAGTTAGATCTGAAGTGTGTAATCCCAGTCATACTTCTGAGTAATGCTCTCACAGCCAATTGGATTTTTGCAGACTGAGTTGTTTTAAAGCAGGGAGACAGACTGTGCGGTGATGAAAGCTCCGCTATAGTACTGCTTTCGTTTGGATGAACTAGAGTGGCCATTTTTTAGACCTCACAGCGTTCTACAGTAACTGTATTGCAAAGGAGGTCTTAGAGATGTGTACAGTTATTCCATAAGATCTTATTTTAATAGGTTATTTGTTTATGTTAGTGTTTTCTGCACTGGCACCTTGCGAAAACCTGTAACTTTAGATAGATGTTCTGTAGCCTTTTATTTATTTATTTGTACTGTATTTTTCTGAACAGCTCATTCATATGAAATGGTCTTGATGTTTACCTCTCTCAGGAGAGATGGATGTTATCCTCTTAAAAGGATAGGAATGATCATTGTAAAACTAAAAACTTTTAGAATTGGAGGCTTCGGCTGTTCGGGTTGTGACAGTAGCATGCGTGTTTAAAAAACCTAAACAAATGAAATTAACCAACCGCCCAAAAAAGAAAAAGAATTCTGCCCCCTCAAATAGCCAGAAAAACAACCCCATCATAAAGAAACTCTGGCAAACATCTTTGAAGTCCAACTCTTTAAAATGTTAGATGTTTAAAATGTAAGATTAGAAGTTGTGTGCAAACATTTCAGATGAGGACTTAGAAAGTCATTTGCTATCAGCTGTGATGTTTGGAAGTATTATGAATTAAGACCTAGCAGGCCATTCTGAATGTGAGAACTTGTATAAACTTGACTTTCAGGCATGATTTATTTCTGTCCTGCTACCTAGGCTAGTATGGACTAACATTTGAAGAGGGCTTGCTGAAAAATGACTGGTGGTGTTGTTTGAATTTCCTATAATAGGACTATACAGAGAAAAAGAAAGATGAACTGTAGATTTACTATGGGATACTTTGATTCGTGCTGCTATTTGCAGTAATAGTGAACTGCATAATGTTGTATAGTAAGATTTGTAAAGATAGCAAGTCTTGTAAATTGGGGATTTTGGCTTATGTAACTTACATTAAAAAGAAGGAGGTGATGTGCTTTTTTTAGTGCCATAAAAGTCAAATTAGTGCGTTTCTGTATTTCGAGGTAATTTTTTCCAGGAAGTCTAAAAAGTCTTCTAAATGAAGGAAATGTGGTTTAAAAAAAAAAAAAAGAAGTACATTATTCAGTATAAGTGACTGTTTTTTTTCTTTTGTCTTGCAGCAACGCACCTCTTGCTTTTTCCTCCAAAGTATGTTATATTAAGTTTCGTGAAGCATCAAGTGTTGGTGTGGCCCAGCATCTAACCAACACGGTTTTTATTGACAGAGCTTTGATAGTTGTGCCCTGTGCAGAAGGTTAGTATTTCAGTCATTCTTCTGTAATGTTGGTCTTTGTCCTGTCTGCTCATTGTTTTAAGCTTTCAATGTGAGGAGGTGGTTCTCTGTTGTTACTTTTTTAAAAATTTATATTAATGTTGATTGGGAGGAAAAAAAAAAAAAAAAAGATACAAAATTGATACAAAAATGAAAATAGAGTGAAGAAACATAGTTACAGAGATTTAATTTAAATTCAGCATTAGAAAAAAAAAGATCTGATTTAAATTAGAATAATTCAATTTTCCATTGTTGTTACATATCTGGGAGGACACAAAGGTAATTTTGTCCCCTTAAAGGTGATTTTTATCTTGGCAAGCTTATTCCCACACAGAGTTCTCACTGAAGTCAATGGAGCACTGAATATGTTAAGTAATTTCCTTGCAAAGATAACATGGAAGTTTTGATTTTAATGTGTTATTTTTGGTCTGTGGGTTGTTCTTGTTGTTGTTATTTTTTCAGTTTTTTGTTTTGATTATATTGATTATTATTATTTTTTACCAAATCCAAATTTGTCTTGTTGACATGCACTGTATGTGTTTGGCCATTTTAGATTTATATAACTTAAAATAGTTTGTGTTCATGGTGATAATTGCTGTTTGATGTTTACCTCCTAGTGTAATGAAAAGTTTCCAGTTTTCCCTTCTTGTTACTGTTGAAATTTATACTTTGTTTGCAATAATAAGACTTTCCTGTACACTGTACTCCTTATGATTTTAGGCACCTTTTTGAAAAATGCAGTTATCTGCATAGAATGCTTCCAGAGTAAAGTATTTTTATAACTCTTAGTAAAGATATTTGGTAAAGAGTAATTTTACAACTGTTCCCTTAAGTAATGCTGAGGCTATACTTGCAGATGTGTAGAATGTGAGGGAATTCTTGCTGTTAGTATGCCAAGTCTGAATACAGTCCCATGAAGCACGGCCCTACTGTTGCTGAATTCTGTGTAGACAAATAACTGGAGTTTGGCAGAGCCCCATTGACTTCACTGTGATCCTTGTGGAAGCGAGCATAGGCCCACTTGGGTCTAGAAGACTTTTTACCTCACTGGAGTAGAAACATTCCAGACGATGAAGTGAAGCTTCCTTCACTTTAAGTATAGTAGCTATTTTGCCACGAAAAAAAGAACCTTTAGTGATTGAACCATAAACTGCTGCAAATTTGGAAGTACTTGCCATTAGCATGAGTCAGGTTTTTTTTTTAAAAAAGCTGTTGACTTCTTGGAGTTTGTTAATAGTGGTCTCAGAGTACCGTTTTTCCCCAGTCTTAATACATGGTGATCTGAATAGCATAAGGTTAGTGCTGCAGTGATCACGGTCTGAGACGTTCCTAGCAAACTCTGGCAAGTCTACAAAATGCCTTGAACTCTAAAGCTACTCTGAGATTGTAGTGATCTGTAAGACACTGCATATTCTCATTTAGTATGAGCACGTATTTTTTGACTTTTTGAAGCCTAGATTTTTAGTTTTTTCTTATGCCTTGCTTTGTGGCATTTTTTGGTGTTATTCTTTGAACTTATTCTTAAACTGCAAAGAGGATATTGCCCTATCCACTTAAAATTTTGGGTAGGCAAAATGCATGAAACAAGAGCCCCGGTTGTTAAAAAATTGCCCCTGAATAGTTGCCTGTAGCTTATTCAGGACTGTAGTTTTATGTTTCATCCAAAAGACCTTAACACTGGTTCAGTACTGCCAGAGAGGGAAGATTGTCGCCAAATGAATGAACAGCACTTCCTGGTGTTTTTCTTGTGATGAGATCACTGCCTGACGTGGTATGGCAACAGGCAGGTAAAGCTACATTTTCCTGTGTCTCTTGATGGTAGACAGTGAGTGGAAGGAGAATGAAATGAAAGTTCTGAAAAATCTTGTTCCGGCCCCGTTTGCAGCTGACTTAGCGGGCGTTTCTGAGAAAGCGTATCGCACATAAATTATCACTGTTCCAAATCATTCCAAATCTTGCAGGGGTTTGTGCATAATTTAGTGAACTAGTGATTGGGTTGCGAGGAAAATTTTTTTAATGGTAATAATGCTGTTTCCATGTAACTTTCTCTAGGGTCATTGATTTTAATTTATGAAAATGTGAATTCATACAGATTTAACTTCCTGAGGAGTTTATTGTGTGGGGTAGATACGGTTCTGGAGAATACACATTTTTGATTCATGATGTGTGATAGGATGCATTGGTAATGGAGTCAGTGGAGTGTATCACAAGTTTTAAAAGTAGTAATGGCTATATTTTACCATTATATTGTTAAATTATATTGTTAGCTAATGGTGCCAAGAGTGAAATGTTTAATGCGCCGAATTGAATGTAGGCGAGATATAGAATGAAACTGAAAATTTGGTTTTAAAAACCAGAATAAAATCTGATTTGGAGTGTATTTTAACTGTTAAATCAAGGGGGCATGAGGATAGGGATGCAATGAAATCAATGTTAATTTTGTGACATTTAATAAACAGTGTTACAAAAAAAAAATGAAGTAACTTTATCAAGCTGTCAAAATGTGACTTTCTTTCGTGTGTATGAGTAGCTTTTTCTTAAATGTTACACTTTGAGAATGCAAAGGTTGAAAGATAACAAAGATGCCACCCTAATCATTCTAAATTTTATGTCCACATTATCTGGTAGATGGATTTTGACTATTAATTTGGTTTTGTATGTTTTCTCTGTGTGATATTTGTGCATTATTAGATGACTAGACTGGCCAAGGCAGACCTGTTACACTTGCCTGAGTTAGGCATTGTTTGCCATGCCACTAAACCTGCCGTCAAGTGAAACCTTCATGGGGGAAATGAGATCGAAGTCTGGCCTGCTGAAGATGGACGCCCTGTCTCTGTTTTTATTTTATTTTGCTTTCTTTCCTTTGTTTTTTTGTTTTTTTATTATTATTATTATTTTGTTTTATTTTATTTTTATTTTATTTTGTCCCTTTTTGTTTTGTTACATCTCTTTCCCTTGTACTTGTGAACTGGTACCTCAGTTCTGTAAAAATGGTGTTTTGTAAAGGGTTCACGGTGTTTCATTTTGAAGTTTGACCTGAAGCTGCTTATGAATGGTGGATGGTATCCGGCAAAGTGTGACTAGTTGAGTTTTATGCTGCAAATTTTGGATAAATTCCATTTGGAGTACATTTAAGCATCTGAATTCAGCAGATGAGCACTCTGGGACAGAAGACTGGAATAGTGAAAAATAAGAGTTTTAAGATGTATTCTTTCATATGTTATGCTTTATGATTTCCTCTTGGAACAGACAGTTAAAAATCTTGCTTTCTGGAGACACTAACTTTACAGAATACAGTGATAATCTTTCTCTGCTGTTTGTCCCTCTTCTTAGCAGAGTAGTTTTATTTAGATTGCATGGTCTGTTTAAAAGAAGGCTTTCCATTTATGTCTAACATAAAGACTTTATAATAATTATTTCTGAAATTGAAATTTCATGGATATCAAATGTCTTGAAATACTGATGCTCCTGATGAAATCTTGCTCCAGTGAAGTCAGTGGCAGTAAAATGTCATCCTCAGAAAAACTGTTTACCACTCATAAGTACAAAAGCAGCCTGAGTTTTTGATTAGAATGTGTTATGTGAGGCACATTGTCTTTTAAAACAGTTGTTTGTGGGAGGACTGAATCAGTTCTGTATGCGTGTGTTTGTATGTGTGTATTGCACTTACATATGCTTCACTGGTTGTTATCTGAAGAAGACATTTTATTTTTTTAAAAGTCTTCTCAGTCATTGCACAAGCCCTGGCAGTTGGTGCTGGAGTGATTGAGAAGGTTGTCATCTCTAGGTGATGTTCTTTCTTCCATTGAAATGGAACCGCTGAAGCAGAAACGGTGGGCCAGGAGGTGTGTCTCATCCTCAGGCATTGCTCTTCTCAGCTAAGTGCGTTAATACCAATTGGTTTCACTTGGGTAATGCACCAAGCTGTGAACTGGGAAGAGCTTTGCTTCATGATCTCTCTTGGATTTATTTGTGGCAGTTGAGGTAATTGCCAGTAATTTTAATCTCTTTAATTACTGCTGCTAAATCCAATAAGAGTCATGAACTGGATCACACGGAAGTTACTTTGAAGTGCATTGGCCACTGACTTAACATGGCAGGAAAATAACGACCTGTTTTAAATTATGTTTGAAGTAGATGTGAGCAGAAGATGTCTTTAAAACAAACCTACTGCTGAGGCTGTTCTACAGTGAGGATTAAGCACATAGTTTATGGAGAACAGGAAATTATTTTCTGCTGCACACTTGGAAGGAAAAAAAAAAACAAGTTACATTTGCTACCTCCTTAACACAAACACTTCTCTGGAACACTTAGCAAAATGGTTGCTGGTATGAACCAAGTTGGCTAAGTGATACAAGATAGTAACAATTATAACATGTATGTAGAGCAAGACCACTGTGCTAAAAGGAAGCCTGAGATACCTCTGAGCAGCATGGAGCCAATCTACATTTACTTCCAGATCACATTGCAGAGCAGAGAGGAATGAAGTAAATGATCACAGAATCTATTATTTACTGAACAGTCAAAAGCATCCAAGAAATATTTCTGCAGATATGATATATGTGTGACATATTTATCTATTTCCATTATTAGAAAGTAAATATTTTTAGCTCATTTCCATTTAGCTTGAGTTTCAAAGCATGAGTTTTAAAACCAAATCGGTATCTCAAACAGTTTTGAAAGTTTCCTAACTTGATTTTTCGCAAGCCATATGTTGTGTATCTTTGTGGGCTCGTATTCTCTTACTGATAAATTTATAGAGATTAAGCTCCAAAACATAAAGGCTGTTTTTAAGTTACATAAGCCTCACATATTGATTTGTTCAGGGAGGTAGATTTGCCCCCAGTTTATTTTCTATGAAGTTGATTTAAAGATTGAGCTGCTCTTAAAAGCTGGAGGAAGAATCTGTGAAAAGGCAGTAGTTCTGGGGGGAGAAAAAAAGAAAAAAAGGCATGGAAGATATTTTTATAGTGTGGAACTGACCAAATGGAGTTTCTAACAAAACACTACGTTGTTAGGCACCCTAGTTATTCTGGAGATAACGCTGCTAGTTTGTTATTATTTAGACATGTGTGCTCTTCTTTCTTTGAACTTCTTTTATAGGTGGCTTAACTGAAAGTGCTCACCTGATTCTTTAAGCAGTGTTTGAGCAAATGAGTAATTCATATTATTTCAGTAAGATGGCCCGTATGCTTAAAATTCAGGCTCATATTTAATTCTCTGAATTTAACTCACTGTCTGTTAATTATGTGCCTAACTCCATTCCTGTTTCAAAAGGCTAAATGCCTTAAGCATCTGAAAAATCTATCTGGTTAACTGTATATTGTATTGGCTGTATGTAAGTGCATACTTAAATTAGGCATATGCTTATGTACGTTGCTGGCCAAGGATCAAAAGAGCACAGAGGCCATTATAGAAGGCTTTTTTGTCACTGAATTTACTTGATCCACATGTGTAGATTCTGTGGAAACCTGCATGAGGATTAATTGAAGAAGCTGGCTATTCATGAAGACATCTGGTAGTTAATGGCCTAGTTCATCAATCATCTGAAAGCACTTCAATACTTTGATTTTCAGAAGAACTGGTATATAACTGTATGCCTAATTTGCATGCACAGTTAGTAGAACTGTGTATTTGAAAGCCTGTTTAGTTAGCTATGTAGTAGGCAGGATATGCAGTGAAGTACCCGATTCTTGTGAGCAGTCAGGCAGATCAGGTGCACCTCTCCTTGCATGCCTGACTTCATGATGAGTTTGTGCTGAACATTGTGATGACTCAGATTCATGCATGTTTTTTAAAAAGCCCTGGAAGACGTTATTGCACAGTTGATTCTTGAGTGCTAATTATTTTCCTATTTTTCTCCTTTAGATAGAAAAATCAAGTGGTTTGTTACATGTTAAGGAGCAAGGTGCCTCAAAACTAAACATAAATAAAATAATGTAAATAGGAGGCTTGAGAGAAAATGGGTACTGTTGTTTTATCTTTTCTATTCATGTATGCTACATATAAATTAATTTTCATTCAGATATGTTTTGTTTTTTGGTCACATCCAGTTGTAACCCAGTCCCTGCTGCAGATCTGTAGTACTGGTTTGCAATACTTTTTTTTTGTCTTTATTTTTTTAAAAGTAGTATAATTCCTGTAGGTTTTATTGAAACTCATAAACAGTTAAAACTACAGTGTTTTGAAACTTACCTAGTATTTTGTATTTTTATTGAAGTTAGAGGTTAACAGATAAAACATAGATAGTTTTATTCAAAGAAAAGTGCTGTGGATACTTCGACTATTAAAAAAATTGTTTAAATAAAAACTTCATTAAAATGCCTGTGGTAATAACAAAGGGCTCAGTAGTTAGCATATATAGAATTATGCCAGGAGTTTTGGAAACAGAATTGATACCAGGTATAAGTAGAAGTTACTGCTGTAGGTTTTTTCTTTCGCGTGCTTAGTGTTTGTTCTAGTTTAGACCCCTTGGCATTTCAAATCTAATAGGCACATTTAATTGTCTTATCTATTACATTACGATTAATCTAGCTAGCTAGCTATATATACAACTTCTAATTTTTGAAGATTTTATGGAGTTAATGAAGCAGTCTTACTGTAAGTAAATTTGAATGAAACCTGTGTTTTAAGACAGATTACTTACTATTTAAACCGTTAGCATAATAGGGAGAATGTAATGTGGTTGAAATGGTACAAAATACATAGTTTAGGAAAATATGGATTGCTCAGTTGATCAGTTAGGATTTTCTTCAACGTCATTAAACTTACAGCTAATTCATGAAATTTTCAGATAAACTGAGATGACTTAGAATGTAAGACAGTACAAATCTAGATTTTTCTTCCTTCCCATACCCCCAAGTTCACTTGCAATGTGTATTGAATCACAGGAGCTTTTATTTAATTTTTATTTATTTTTACATCAAAAGTAGGTAGCATCAAAGTAGAGAAAAAAGCACAAATTTCAGTTAGCTCATACATGTTTTTTCTTTTTTTTTCTTTTACTGATTTGGTTATTTGCCATTTCTGGGGATTAAACTTTAAAAAATGTTCTTCTTTTCTGTATCTGATGTTCTGTGTGCTATTAGTGATGCAGCCAACACGAACGGTTGTCATGTGTAAAACAACTTTCGATCACCGTGAAAGCACCGCCCTGGGAAAGCGTCCATGCTTGATATCGTTTGGTTCATGAACATTAAGTTTCCAGTACAGGTGACCCATAGCTCAAAGTGTTAAATAATTGTGTACATATTCAGTTTTTAAAATAATGATCCATTAATGAGTTTACTATTCTTTGAAGTTTTTCTCACTTTTGTTTTTCCTAGTAGAGCAGGGTAAAAGGAAAATCTTAAGTTCTTATTTGTTTCTTTGTAAGGATCTGGTAGATAGATTCATTCTTATTTATTACCTTTTTAAATGCAAGGGTAATTATAAAATAATAGTAAGAGTAACATTTGTGTAGTGTTCCAGCTCTGTATAATGCTTTCATTTGCTTCTTCAGGTAAAATTCCAGATGAAGCCAAAGCCCTTTCTCTATTGGCGCCTGCTCCTACTATGACAAGCCTGATGCCTGGTGCAGGGTTGCTTCCAATACCTACACCAACGCCTTTAACAACAGTAAGTAAAATTCAGATGCTGTTTGATTTCTGGTTTCATCTGTGTTGAACAGCATTTTTTTTTATATTATGAGAATAAAAGCTATGTATGCTACGTTGATGTTGTCCTCTTGTGTATCAAGTCATTGAGGGCTTAGCTGTGGTGCCCCTTTTGAAGGTAGGTCACGAGATGTTTGTGCCTAACTTTTCCTGAGTGTTCCTTTTTTATTTTTAAATTGCAGAATAGTGGGTGAATACTGATTTTGATTGTGTCTGTGTTTTCTGTTCCTAGACCCATTAATTTGATCCACTGGCAATACTATCCACTTCCTAAAAGTTAGTTAAAGCATAATAGCTTAATTGGCGTAGGTCGAAATATTATGTTGGGATGCTGTTATTTAATATTCCTCTGTCATGGCTTTTGTCTCTTTACCTAGCAATTTTTTCACTATGGAAAGCTCAGGAGCTACCTGCTGCTGCTGCTACTTCTCAGTTCCCATCTGCTTCTGTAAGCTTATCTTGGGATCATCAGGCAGTTGTGCCTGGTTCAGGAACAAGTCTGGAAATAGCAAAGCCTGCTTCAGAAAAACTGGGCTTGGTGTCATTGCTTCATATTATTTGGAGATGAAAGTCTTCAGTTTTCCAAACATGTTGCAGCTGTGTGCTACTGATATTACTGTTATCATCCATTTTTGGTTTTTTGTTTTGTTTTAATTTGAATGCAATTTCTAAACTTTCCTCTAATGATTCCCCGTTTGTCTCAATTACCAGAACTGTTATTCCCACTTGCTATTCTTAGCTGATACTGGTAAGCGTCCTAGAAGAAATGAATATTGTTTAGTTTACTTCTTCTTTCTTCCCTTCCGTTAAAACACTGCATAAACTGTTTTTAATATTTAATAAATCTGCACTGAGGGCAGTATCTTTTTTAAAGCTTGTGCTCCAGCAGCTATTTAAGACTATCCAACTTCTACCCTGAAACCACAGGACCAGAGTCAACAGTCAGATTTAATTTATAGTTCTTAACTGTCACTATATAAAAGAAATCACATGGCATTGAAAATCATCTTTAATTCACAAGGATGCTGGCTTTTTTTTTTCCTGTAAAGTTATATGATATTACCCTCACTGTTTGATGAAGTAATAATTTAGGTATTTAATAAACTAAAATACGCTTATTTATGCATAATTGCTGCTATTCAATCATAATTACTATTGGAATTTGGGATACTATTTGGGATACTAAACTAACCCTCTAAAGTAAATTGACTCTTTTTTTATATACATCTTTAATAAATTATCGGTGAATAGTAGACTATCAAAGAGGAAGGCAAGTTGTCTGACAATTTCTGTTCAGTAATAAAAGAATGATTTCAGCAAGCAGAGTAGTTTTGTCTTTTGTTACATAATAAAAAAACAAACTAGTGTCTTGCTGAGAATTTCTAACACAAATTTCACCTGTTAGAAAAGTAGCTTCTTTTTCTGTAAGAAATAGAATTTAAACCAAGAACTCAGCAGACCGGTTTAATAGTGTTTTCTTAGTAATTTTTTATAACTTCAGTAGCCAGTAAAAACAAGAGCCATATTGTCTTCATTCTTTAGGAAGTAACTCTCCAGCAAAGGGAAATTTGTAATTTTTCCAGGTACGGGTAGCTCATCTGACAAGTTAAAGCCTCTGAACTAGTAATCTGATATTACTCTTCTTGCTTTTGACTGTACATTCCACTTTATCTGTGTGATTCTTTGTCTTTCTGGGTTCTCCAGAACCTAGAACGTATTGTACCCTTCATGAAGCATGACAAATTCACTAAAGGAATGAGGGTGAGTTTCTTTGACCTACATCATCCTGACACACTGTACTGAGCTTAGTGAAGGATGTGAAACACTGGTGCTTTGGATTGGGATTCCAGGGAAAAGATTCAGGTCTTGTTCCCTTGCTTTTTTCTCCAGCCATCTGTTTGAGAGGCTCAGTTATTCAGTTAACTACAGATAAGAGTTGCCTATTATCTTGCCTGAAGCTTGTCTGAATCTGTGCTGCAGCCAAAAGAGGTGCTACTGGCATTGCATTTCCACTCTTCTGCATTATGCTAGTGTTCATATGGTCTATTACCTGAAGAAGTCTCATCTGACATGGCTTTTTTTCAAGTTGGTGAGGGGTATAGAATACAGTTGTTTTTTCATAACAGTTCCCTTTGTCTATCTGGTTTACAAATTGTAACAAGTCCGTTGTAAAAAGAAGAAATCAAGATTGCCCCTTTCCTTGTCTAAAGGGAACTGGTTAAGTTTATACAGATGATGAAGCTGTCATTTTGGAAGACTGGAAGGATAACAACAGGTAGCAGTATCAGTTATCTTAAACCTTTGAAATACTTCTTTCATGTTTGTTCTGTTTATGCATTACTTTGTTTCTGCATTACCTACAGTGTGTTTATACATTACCTATGAGCAAAGTTTAGGGTGCAAGGTGTAGTGTTTTATGTAAAAACTGCCAGGGAAATAAGCTTTTGTTGTAATATTAGGAGAGAAACTTACAAAATGCCGCTCTGGATTACAGTTACTTCGTGTGCTGAGACCATGTTTCTCTAGAGAGTTCTTGTTTACCGTTGGTAATCCTTCTGGTTTTAAGGTGTTTCTGCTTGGCAGTATGAGACTTTTAAGGCAAGGAGATACTTTACTTAGCTAAAGCTACAGATCATCCACTATACTTGGATCATCTGTAAATTTCTCGAGGGAACTCAGGATTACAGATGTAATATTTCAGAATTAATTAATCATGTGAACAAGCTGGACACTGTTTTTCCATTTTCTCTAGCTCCTTTACTGGCCACTGAAAAGAATCTGTCTCCACTCTTCTTACAGTCTTCATTTACACTCTCCCACTAGAAACTTGTGTGTTTTCTTAGGACGTTCCTCAGCTTTCTCCTCTACAGAATGAAGAAACCCAGCTCTCCCAGGCTCTCCTTGTAGGACTGGTGCTCCAAGACACTTCATCAGCTTTGTGGCTCTTCAATGGATGTACTGCAGTTAGGTCTGTTTCTCTCTTGTACTTGGAAAGCCCAGAACTGGTCACCGTATTCCAGATCTGGCACCACCAGCACTGAGCAAAGAGTAACCTTCCTTTTGTTTGCTCACAACACTCTTCTCTAGAAAGAGCAGCTCAGCATACCACCGTCCTTCTTGACTGCAAGGGTGCATTGCTGGCTCATGTTAACCTTGGGGTTCATCAGAACCACCAGTTCTTTTTCTGCCAGCTCGCCTTCCAGTCAATCAGCACTCTCACTGTACTGGTCTGTGGAGCTGTTCCTGCCCGTGTGCAGAGCCCTTTGGTGTACTGCCACCTCTTCCTGATTATGTGTTGTCTGCAGATTTGCTGAGAGTGTGTTCAGTCCCACTGGCTTGGCCACCGATGAAGTTCAACAAATTGTTCAGGATGGTCAGCTGGAACATAGGACACCACTGATTGGTTTTTACAGCTAGACTAGCTGCTTTGAAGAGATTGTTTTTTTTTAAAGTGAAGGTATTACTAATCAGTATTCCATTTTTATTTACATTTTGTGTTTTAGACAGTAGCAAGCTGTGGTAAATGGCGCTTACTGAGTCTTGAAATTGTTTTTATATGCTAGTACAGTATACTTAGTTCTGTGAAACAGCTTGTGATCCAGAAGACTTTGTGAATTAGATCATTCGTGCTGATTTGTGCTTCTTTCTATTCCATAGCATAACATTGTCAGCTGATACTTTTGAAATGGAAAGTATTTAGCTCATGTTAAAACTTTTGTAAAGTATGTTTGGTATTCAAAAAATCTAAAAATAAAATATAAATGTATATTAAATGTTTTTTCTTATTGTTTTCAGCCAATTTTATGGGTCACTCTCTAAGTGAGGAAAAGCTGTTTACACTGCCTTTTACTGTCATAGCGATGATTATTTTATAACATGAAAAAAAATATGTTGTGTATATAGCAGGGAAAACAAAACCATTCCCAGAGGGCTGCAGATATATTTTTATTGTTTTGTTGAAGGGTAAATAGCATTTTGGAAATAAATGATTGTGCCTTATTCTCTCTGTCTCTTCCAGCTTGGTGTTTCACTTGGCACTTTGGGAGCAATACCAGCAGCAGCATTGGACCCTAACATTACTGCACTGGGAGAAATACCCCAGCCACCAATAATGGGGAATGTGGACCCATCCAAAATTGATGAAATCAGGAGAACAGTATATGTTGGAAACTTGAATTCACAGGTAGGTTTTTTTTTTTTTTGTTTGTTTGTTTTTTTTTTTTTTTTTTTTGTTTTTAAAAAAATATTATTTTTCTTTATTTGTGTGTGTGTGGCAAATACTAATGGAAGACAAGAATTGTTATTTGTGAATTATAATCACAGGAGCTCCTGTTAGATGATGTCAATTTAACCAAAGAAATAAATTAGGCTGTTTTTGGTTACTAATGATATTTCTAATTCTGAATGCTCCTGCACCAACCAGGTCAGACCAGATTGTGGAAGTCACTCTAGCAGGGTACCAGAAGAATCACAGTGCAGTAGAATTGAGGATGCATACGTAAGAAGATTATGTGTATTAATCAACTGTGTTGTATTAGCTGAATAATACCTTAGAATACATGAGATCATGATAGCCGTCCTTCACCACAATAGTTTGCAGATCTTAAGTACAGTAAAAAGGCATTCACCTGAAATACAGTAGAAGGTTAATGATTTCTCCCAGTGGAAGTTGCAAAATCAGCCTGAGAATCTTAATGTTTCTGTGATAGAAAAGCTCGGTGTCTGAAGTATTTATTTTCAGTAGTTACTGATCGAACAGCAATTGCTTTGATGGATGGCACTTGTAGTATTTGTTTGGGAGTTTTGTTTGATTGCTGAAGTAGCTGTTAGAGTGTAAAAGTTCAGTTGATTGCAGTAAAATCAAATGAGTTGTAAGCTAGTAGAAAAACAGATAAAAGCTAAATGTTGTGATATTGATTTGTTTGTTTGGTTTTTTTTTTAATTGATTAAAAGTTGTAGTAGCAGAAATAGCTTGGACATATGTGTATCAGTTATTTCAGAGAGGTTGCTCGGAAAGCTCAGAATCCTATGCAAGTTTATTTACAGCCTAAATATAGTTCTTTTGGTTGCAATATTTTAACTCGTAGTATTTTCTTTAGATTAATGGAAAAAAAAGTCTGGAAAAAAAAAAAGTAAAATAGCCAAATTTGTGTCACCTGTGAAGCCATGGGAAGATGTTTTACTGAAAGTAGAGATTTTTTTATTACCTAATACATTATATGATCACTTTTCATTATATGTTTTACTTTAGCTGTGCTCTTTGACTCTTTCTAGACCACAACAGCTGATCAGCTGCTTGAATTCTTTAAGCAAGTTGGAGAAGTCAAATTTGTGCGAATGGCAGGTGATGAGACTCAACCAACACGATTTGCTTTTGTGGAATTTGCAGACCAAAATTCTGTACCTCGAGCTCTTGCCTTTAATGGAGTTATGTTTGGAGACAGGCCACTAAAGTAAGAAATTAATTATCCATAGGCTTATTGAATGAAAGATTTCTCAGTATTCTTATATATTTATGACTCTGATCTACAGGAAGATACAGTAGTGAATATTTTATCAATATAAGGATCTATTGTTAACAAACTGAAACACTTTTCTAAGTGTTTCAAAATTGGATATAACTTCCTCTAAGAAGAATGTGATTAGCAGAGAGTAAAATATGTTTACATTTAATCTTGAGGTAGTGAATGCTTTAACAAGGAAAGAATCTGCAAGGTTGTTGGTGCTGATAAAGCTTTTCATTATATATTTTACTTCAGCTGTGCTCTTTGACTCTTCCTAAACCACTACAACTGATTGTTGATCAGAGTCATTATATATAGATGACTCTGTAATGAGTTTTAAGTTTAAAATTTAATCTAAAATAGAAAGCTAGATTCCTAGACTTGAACCTTTATTTATTCAGAATGACACAGAAATACTGTACCTTATTTATTTAAAATATTTGGAAGGAATAAAAGGCACACATTTCAGGTATTTAGACAGCAGATGAGCATTATGAAAAATATGTAGTTTACTAACTTCGAAATTTTTTGTCAGACACGAATTTGAGATGGTTTCCTTTCTTATTTTTCATTTTCTTTTTCAAATATTTGTGAAATAAATGTTTTATTTTTCCTTAATTTAGAATAAATCACTCCAATAATGCAATAGTGAAGCCTCCTGAAATGACACCGCAGGCTGCTGCCAAGGAACTGGAAGAAGTGATGAAGAGAGTAAGGGAAGCTCAGTCTTTCATATCTGCTGCTATTGAGCCAGGTACGTATATTACATTCACTATCTGACAGACATGTTTGTTGTACACCTTGGTACCTGCTATTAAGAGCACTTTCAGACACAGGAAAAGGTTACTTGTAGCTGAATAACATGTGTAGAAAGAAATGAAAGTAATCACAATTGCCTTCATGTAACAGAGTAGTGGAAGTTGGCTTTTTTATTTTGACATGTATTGTCTTCACATACATGCTTACTGAGTATTTTCAAAAACAGGAGGACAATGCAAATGCATTGAATGTTGATGCTTCTTTAAGTTAAAAATACATAGAAATATTTACCATGAAATTGCTTTATGCTTTGTTTCATTCTTTAGCACACATTAGTGCCATGGTTTCATGATCAGAGAGAGCTAGCATTCAGGTCAAAGCACCGATATTATGCTTTCTTAATCTATAGCACATTACTTCTGTCTCTGTCGCTGTGCTTTTTTTCATGGTGGCTCAAGACTGAGCATCTATAAAGCAAATAGGATCAGAAATGAATTTGGGATAAAACAGTGTGTTATAATGGACTCTTTTTCATCCATATTAGTGCCTGATCCCTGTTAACACTGAAATGGCTGGTCTAGGAGGAAGATTTCTCATGGGTTGAGAGGTTGGATGCTGCTATTCAGCGTTGATTTTTGCAGACTTGTTCTGATTTCTAAATCACAGCATAAAACAATCTGATTTTGTTAACCTTGTTGACATCATCCTTTTTCTCTAGATGAGTGACCTTTTGTCATTTTATTAACAAACTCAGACTTTATGTACATTAGATTACGAGGAGTCTTAAGTTTTTGGAGAGAGTTGAGTTTTTTCTCATTTTTGGCATTGGAATAAAAATAGCTCTAGCATTTCCTCAGTGTAAAGCAGCAGAACAGTAATGTTTTAAAAAGAGTCCGAACCAAAGTCTACTGTGGTCACTGGTGGCTTACTGGCCTTTGGATCAAACTTTTCAACCTTTTCTCTCCATTCCTTCCTCTCCTTGTGGATTATAATTTGAATATTTGTACAGTGGTGTAAATGTCTAAAAGACCAGAAAGTATTATAATTCATATTTTATGCTTGTTTTCAAAATTATGCCCTGTATTCTAATTTACTCTGTTCTTCTCAGGGTATTTTTTTTTTTTTTAATAGTTACATGAATAATATACCAAGAGGCAAACGTGTTGTAATCTTGTGCATTGTGGCAGCAACATAAATCCCTTTCCTAATAGAGCTAGCTGTTTATAATTATCTGGTTTATGTGTACTGCTGCAGGATGGCTGCACTCAACGAGTATATGCAATGACTTTCTTGGATGTTTCTGAAGGATATTTGCAAAGAAGGAAGATGTGCAAAGAGTAGGCCCCTTGTACTATATGTGGTACATTCCACTTGTGCCAGATTGTTAACTGGGATCTTTAAATGTTCTGAGCTTACACTGCAAAGTGGTTTTTTCCTCTCAGAGTCTGGAAAGAGCAGTGAAAGAAAAGGCGGTCGATCTCGTTCCCATTCTCGTTCAGAATCCAGGTCTAGCTCAAAATCCCGATCTAGAAGGAAAAGATCACATTCAAAACACAGGTAGGTTTTTTTTTTTTTTCTTTTGTAATAAGAGATGATACTGTTTTTCTTCAGTACTGAAGTTATTTTTTAAGTAAGTATTGCTATGGAATACATGAATAACTTATATTGGTTAGATCAGAGTAACTGGAATCTTTGTCTCTGAACAGATACTCTTTTGCTCTAGTGTTTTCAAGATTACATTCAGTAAAAACACACTAGATGCTATCTGTAGACACATCAATGCTATGTAGCATATTTTATTCTATGACCTCCATGTTTTAAAAACTAACAGTTATCTGCATTATATGTCCAGAACAGTTTTGACTGTTAACTCTACTCTAAACTGATAGGTTGGCTGGTTTTGCTAGTATGAAGCTCCCCTGCTGTCTTGAACTTCTAAACATGGAATTAATAGAACCAGTATTTCTGTTTACTGTAATGTAAATGTGGTTAAATTTTTTAGAAACCAAGAGAAAAAGGCTCAAGGGACAGTTTTCCTTTCTTCAGTTTGTTTGCTTTGCTAAATTTATTAACTTCTGAAGCAGACTTTGGAGTGTAGGAGGAAATGAAGCAACTAGATCACTGTTAAAATTAGTCCATAAATTTATTTCCCATGAATGAGGCAGTATTGATATATGACACTTACAGACATGTCCTGAAAATGTTTTGTATTTTTTCAGTGACTTCTGAGCATTTATGTAATCAATCTAAAGGTATTTGTATATTCTTTGTGTGGAAAAAACACTCAACATTTATTAGATAGTTTACACTTTAGAAAGGTAAGTTGCAGAAACAACTTTGTTGCATCTTTTCTGACATTGTGTTCTAATGGGAGAACGCAATATATAAAGAAAAGCTTGAGTAGAAGTGCACACTAAGTGGATTGTACTCCCAGTGAAATATGGTGTAAGTGGAGGTTTGGGTTTTGTAGCAGAGGGACAACACAGTACGTTACCTATTGACATCAGACCGTTGGGCACCATTTTAATGCAAGAACAGTCATTTGGTCACTTCCTTATTGCAAGCTGTTTCTGTTGCTCTGCTGTTTCTGTAACATGGGATATGACTGAAAAGCTGTGTTGGTGTAACATTCCAGCGATGTCTGCGCTGTTTCATAACAACACAAATTAGATTGAGTTTTAGAAAATAAATTTGCATTCCTCACTTTAAGAAATCTGCGCTTTCAAATATCTGTTGATATCAGTTTTTAAAAGTATAGTTTACGTCCGTTACCAGCAATTTTAATTACGTGCTGCAAAAAGAGCCAGGCTGATCGACTGAAGCAAATGCATCCCTAAGAATAAAATATCCTTCCCATTGTCCTGTTTAGGCTTTTAATCATCTCCATATATCTCTTTCATCTTTATGGTACAAATTTTATTTAGGAGCTTATTTTGGCCAAGTTGTAATTAATTTGCCCTGAAGTTAGTTTCTACACTACAGTGATGTGGAGCAAAGTGGTAGCTAAAAAAAGGTTGCCTTTCCTCTCCTCTTGGTATGTTCTTATTCTGTATGTCTTGAGCTGCAGAAGACAGGTAGAACTGTTATTTTTTCTGTCTTCCCGTTCTTCAGGATTTATTGAGTAAATACATGGCTTTTCTGTCTTTGATAAGTTGAACTTTCAGGCAAAGTATTCAAATAATGTGTTGTTTGAAATCTAATATTCAAATTTACCTTTTTATTTTAATTTTCCTAGGAATACGATCTTCCAAAAATGGTGAATACTGGGGAAAACAGAGTATAGTAATTTTTAGAAGTGCTGTTTTCGTTACCAAATCTGAGACTGTACTGTATATCAGTATATACAGTATGTAATAGGGTGCTCCATATATATGTGAGCATATATATATATAATAGGAGTGCTCCGAAAGTAGTAGCTCTTACTCTATTATGTTGACCTGCAACATCTAATCTGAACATTGGTGATATGTCAGTAGAGGTTGGAGCTTCCCACCAGTATTCCATTGCATTTTGTTGCCATGTGACAGATGGCAGTAGGGGTACAGTCTGATAGAATGGTGTCTGATAAGGATATGTGCACAAAGCAAAGCTTTGTCATTGAATTTCTCCATGCAAAAAAATATGGCACTCATTGATGTTCATTGGTGCTTGCTGAATGTTTATGGAGAACAAACAGTGGATGTGAGTACAGTGAGGCCTTGGGTAGTATATTTCAGCAGGGCTGACAGCAACATGAAAGACAATTCAGACAGCCTTGCAGATTTTGAAGATTGCAGGATGGAGGCTTTTGTTCATTGCTCTTAAAAATGCATAGCTAATGGTATTGACTGGGTTGAAAAGGAGTATTATGTAACTGAATTTGCTATACCAAGTAGTATTATTGTGCTCTTTGTGTTGCTTATAGTTTACATGGGAATAAGTAGGAGGCATTACTGTTAGAGTGATCTAAATAGTTTTGTCAGAAGACTTCAGTTGGATTTCAGTTGGAGCTTCTGCACATTATTTTCATTCCTTTTTTTCATCATTTTTCATCACGAAGTAAATTTTCTTTCTGAATCTTGAGAATTGTTAAATCTGTGCTAACAAATCCATCTGAAGTGATAACTTTTCTAAATTCTGAACCACAAATGATAGGTTTGGTTTTTTATTTGGAGAACCAACCAAGTGACCAAAACTGCAATAAATGATTGGACCTGAGGAAGAAAAAAACTATTTTTACAAGCTGATCTTAGATCTTAAATACCTTAATTTTCTAAGAAAAGCTATCCCACTGTGATTTTTCCAGAATATTCATAAAACTTAATACTTTAATGATGAATCTCAAAAGAGAGCATATGCACCAGTTTAAATTTTAAGTAAGCTTATTTATAAAAATGTTAGGCACTGAATTACTAAAATGCCACCCTATGTAATTTTTCATAGTGAGGCCAGATTATTATATCTTTTTCCATTTCAACTGATCTAATTTTTATGAAGTTTCAGTATTAAAGTATTCTTTTTTATCTTGTTCATATAGAAGTCGGTCTGGCAACAGATCGCTCTCAAGACACAAGGACAGGCGCAGATCCAGAAGTCCCCTGAAAAAACGATCTAGATCTAAGGAAAGGCGGAAATCAAGGAGTCGGTCTCGCTCTCGGTGAGTTTCCATTCCTAAGAAATGATGTTCTTAGCTACAGTACGAGGTTTTTGAAAAAATCCAATAAATATTTTAGGCGAAGGTAAAGCATGGAGCATAAATGCTTCATCCTGTTCCTAGGCTTTGTGAGGCAGAAGAACAGAACATAGATTTTATATTGAATTACCTAAACTTCTGTATAGAAGTCCTGTTTCCATGTTTGTACCTATGTAAAATTATAAAATGTCTTGGGTTGGAAAGGACCTTTAAAAATAATCTAGTTACAACCCTGCTGCCTTGGGAAGGGTCACCTTCCAGTAGATGAGGTTGCCCAGATCCCTGTACAGCCTGACCAGGAACACTCCCAGAGATGGTTCATACAGTCACAGAATCATAGAATGGCCTGAGTTGAAAAGGACCACAATGATCATATAGTTACAAGCCCCCTGCTATGTGCAGGGTCACCAACCACCAGACCAGGCTGCCCAGAACCACATCCAGCCTGGCCTTGAATGCCTCCAGGGATGGGACATCCACAACCTCCTTGGGCAACCTGTTCCAGTGCGTCACCACCCTCCTAATATCTAACCTAAACCTCCCCTGTCTCAGTCTAAAACCATTCCCCCTTGTCCTGTCACTACGCATCCTTGGAAACTGCCATTCCCCTTCTTGTTCGTATGCTGCCGTCAAGTTCTGGAAGGCCATAATGAGGTCTCCCCAGAGCATTCTCTTCTCCAAGCTAAACAAGCCCAGTTCCCTCAACCTTTCTTCATAGTAGAGGTGCTCCAGCCCTCTGTTCATCTTAGTGGCCCTCCTCCGGACCCGCTCCAAGAGCTCCACATCCTTCCTGTACTGGGGCCCCAGGCCTGGACGCAGTACTGCACATGAGAGTACTACAAGAGCCGAGTAGAGGGGGACAATCACCTCCCTCTGTCTGCTGGCCACCCCTTTTTTAATGCAGCCCAGAACACAGTTGGCCTTCTGGGCTGCAAGCACACACTGCTGGCTCATGTCCAGCTTCTTGTCTACCAGGACCCCCAAGTCCTTCTCCACAGGCTGCTCTCAAGGGGTTGAGGGTCCCCTAATCTGTCTGCACTTGGCCTTCATTAGTTTTTCATTGGCCCACTTCTCCAGCCTATCCAAGTGCCTCTGGATGGTTTCCCTTCCTCCTAATGTATCAACTGCACCGCTCAGGTTGGTGTCTTCCAAACTCACTGAGGGTGCACTCGATGCCATCATCTATCACAGATAAAGATGTTGAAGAGCACCAGCCCCAGCACTGACCCCTGAGGGATCATGCTTGTTACCTCCACTGTTCATATCCACAGCTTCTCTGGGCAACCTATTCCCCTGCCTTAGCACCATCTGAATGAAGAAGGTATATCTAACCTAATTTTACCCTCTTTTAGTTTAAGAGCATTAGCTCTTGTCCTATCACAACATTCGCTGATGAAGAATCTCATCTTTCTTGTGAACCTTCTTTAAGTATTGGAAGGCTGCTCTAACGTTTCTCCAGAGCCTTCTCTTCTGTAGACTGAATAACCCCAACTTTCTCAGTCTGTCTTTATAGAGAGATGCTCTAGCCCTCTGATGAGTTTTGCAGACTTTCTTCTGGAGCCACTCTTAACAACTCCATGTCTTTTGTATGGTGAAGCCTCCAATAGGAATGCAGTATTCCAGGTGTTGTCTCGAGAGCAGAGCAGAATGGGAAATCAGCTTTCTGATGTAGCTCAGAATATGATTGATTTTTTGGGCTTGGAGAGTACATTGCCAACCCATGTCAGTTTTTCTTCCACGACTGCCCCTCATTACTTCTCTGTGAGACTTGTCTATCGGGGCACCCACTCAGCCTGTATTCATGTTTGGGATTGTTCTAATCCAAGCGCAGGATGTTGCACTTGGCCTTATTGAACTTCATGAGATTCATGGAGACTCCTCAAGCCTTTAAGGGTCTCCTTGGATATCATCTGAACTCGCTGAGGTTGCATTCAGTCCCGCTGTCCATGTCACTGACAAAGATGTTAAACAGTATCAATCCCGACACCGACCCCTGAGGAACGCCAGGCATCACTGCTCTCTACTTTGACCCCAAGCCATTGACTGCAGCCCTCTGAATGTGACTGTTTAGCCAATTCCTTATCTACTGAGTGGTCTGTCAAATACATGTCTCTCCATTTTAGAGACAAGAACGTCATGCAGGAAAGGATAAAGTGCTTTGCACAAGTCAAGGTTGATTAAATCAGTTCTCTAGCCATTTCCAACAATGCTGTAATTCCATTATAGAAGGACACCAATTTTGTTGGGTGTGATTTAGCCTTGGGGAAGCTGTGCTGGCTATCCCCTTTAGTCTCTGCTTTAGCGTGGTTTCCAGGGGGATTTGCTCCACAGTCTTGCCAGGCAGAGAGGTGGGACTGACTGCACTGTAGTTATTTACTTTCTGTTTCTAAAAAAGGGGGTTATATTTCCCCTTTTTCAGTCACTGGGAAATTCACTGATTTCCTATGAAATTCCAACAGGGTATTTATAATGTTCATGTGGAAGTAGCTTCATAGTAGAAAACTTGATAATTTTCTTCTTCTTTCATCTCTTTAATGCCCCAATTCATTTAAGGGGAGCTTCATAGCTCTTTTTTTACCGAGGAGAAGTTTTGTGGGAAAGAGAACTGTGAATCTTCGGACCTTGGTGGGAACAGTTAGGAGTACTTCATGTAGTTCGGCTTTGTTGATAGCTGACAAAATGTTTTTGATTCTGTCTTGCACTTGTCTGACAGAGTTTTTAAGATATCTACTGACTGTAAGGAGGAAATCCAGTGAAATGTGTATAATAATTAACTGGAAGGTGTTTCTGGTGGCATTGTGAGATCCATTGCTATTGTAGGGATAGCACACTGTCTCATCTTTATGGACTTAGATTGTTTCTGTGAGATATGTAAAAAAGTGTTTGCCAGAACCTGATAGGTACGGAACATAAAGTAGGAGTTGAGGAAATATATAACTAGAGACTTGATAGAGTGAAGAAAGGTGAGGGCTGTGCTTAGGGTCTTTCCAGTCTGAACGGGTCTCTTTGGGAATCTTTCAAAATCCTGGGCTAGATATCAATACCAAAAGAAACAGCAATTCAGTCTGGTTCCTATGGATGTGAAAAGGCCTGTTTATCAACTTCTTATAATGTGCTTTGTCCTGTTTGTCTAAACAACTATTGATTTTCATATGTCCTTGAGGCAGCTCATATGCATGTCCACTAGGTGAGATGGTTGGGAGTCTTGCACTTCCAAATAATCCTCTGCCAAAAGGTAGTGTTGTATTCCAGTCAAAACTATAACTTAATCAGTTTTTTTATTTGACTTGGTTACTAGAACATATGCATAAGTTTTTCTCACAATTTTTCCTTTTATGAACAGGTGTAATTCTACTTGTTCTATAGAAGTTAACTTGATCCATTACCCTTATGTTTTCGCTGTCATATAAACTTTCTTACAGTTAGATAATTTTCAAATTCCTGATCACATTACAGATGATTGAATTGTCTTGAGTTTTGACCTTACATTTACCTTTCGGGGGAATTTAATCAGTGAAATGTAACCCCTGGTTTTGGTTTCTCTGTATTTACTGGTTTGGATTTGCAAGCAGTTCCGGATGTTGATGTGAGAGAGCACTGTAGACTTAAGATTTCTGTCAGTATTCATATGGGGCTGGTTAATTTTCAGTCTCTGTTATATGGATCCAATTTTAGTAAGAAATGGATTTAGAAATGGTAGTGTTTGTCTCAGATCTGAGAAAATGTAGAATATCTGTCTATATGTAATAAGAATCATGAGGTAAAGAAACTTTAGTACCATTGCTCAGTACAAATGAATTTGATTTCTAGTTCGCAGACCTTTCCTAGCTATTTAGTCTCCCCCTCATGATAAATTTGAGTGCAAAAGTAGAATTTTGCATAATAGTTATTTTTCAACAGAAATAGTTTCTCTTGAGCATTTGCTGTATGCTGAAGACTTAGTTGTAGTTTTTATTAGGAAATTTGAAGATGAGTTAATGGATTTGTGTTTGGCTTTTCACAGGGACAAGAAAAGAGACAAGGAAAAGGTCAAGGAAAAAGAAAAGACCAAAGAAAAGGAGAGAGACCGAGACAAGGAGAAGGAAAGAGACCGGGATAGAGACAAAGAAAGGGAAAGAGAGAGAGATAAGGAGAGAAACAGGGATAAGGACAGGGATAAAGACAAAGATCGAAACAAAGATCGGGAGAGAGTCAAAGATAGGGATAGAGACAGGGACAAGGAAAGGGAAAAGGAGAAAGATGAAAAGGAAAAAGACAGGGAAGATGTAGATCAGAACAAAGAAAAAGATGATGACAAAGATGGGGAGAAAGATAGAGAGAAGATGAAGGATAGGGAGGGAGATAAGGACAAGGGAGGGGACAAAGAGAAAGAAAGAGAAAAAGAAAAGGAAAGAGATGGGGATAAGGAGAGGGAGCGAGAAAAAGAGAGAGATGATAAAAAGAAGAAAGATAAGAGATCCAGAACTCCCCCAAGAAGCTATAGCTCTTCAAGAAGATCGCGTAGCTCCAGCAGGTTTGTTATTTTGAATTTTTTTAATGCTTTTTTGAACTTATCAGCACAACAAAATGAATCTCTTTTTCACCTGTCAGTACTACCATCTTGATAGTTCAGTTTCTGTTCCTTTGTTTAGTATATTTCCCAGTGAAGTAAAATGAATTACAAAGAAATCTGTACTTGGAAGTAGTAGTTTGTTGTCAGGCTGCTGATGCTTGCCTTCACTTAAATATACAGTATAGTATTTGAGGGCAGTAAGTAGATGGTTGTTGTGCCATTTCTCTGTGTTGGAGCCAACAAATGGAGGGGCATCACACATTGTCCTGATGAAAGTATGAATCATCAATGTGAAATTTCTTGGTTACTTTTATAGAGTCATTGAATATGCTGGGTTGGAAAGGACCCACAAAGATCACAGGCTCTTCCAATAGGACCACTCAGAAATTGAAACAGCCTCTTCAGAACAGCTAGTCTAACTGGAAAAAAAAAGCAGTCAGTGGTCCTATACTCCAGGTGACAGTACTGGAGCTAGTTCTTTGAACATCATCAGTGGCCTAGCCAGTGGGACTGAACTCTCAGCAAGTCTGCAGACAGTACTGAACTGGTAAGAGCTGACAGTATGTCAGAGGGCTGTGCTGCCATTCAAAGGAACATCAACAGACTTAAAAAATGAGCTGAAGCTGAACAGGACTGTGCTGAGTCCTGCAGCTGTGCAGGAACAGCTCCACAGACCAGTACAGTGAGAGTGCTGATTGACTGGAAGGCGAGCTGGCAGAAAAAGAACTGGTGGTTCTGATGAACCCCAAGGTTAACATGAGCCAGCAATGCACCCTTGCAGTCAAGAAGGACGGTGGTATGCTGAGCTGCTCTTTCTAGAGAAGAGTGTTGTGAGCAAACAAAAGGAAGGTTACTCTTTGCTCAGTGCTGGTGGTGCCAGATCTGGAATACGGTGACCAGTTCTGGGCTTTCCAAGTACAAGAGAGAAACAGACCTAACTGCAGTACATCCATTGAAGAGCCACAAAGCTGATGAAGTGTCTTGGAGCACCAGTCCTACAAGGAGAGCCTGGGAGAGCTGGGTTTCTTTATTCTGTAGAGGAGAAAGCTGAGGAACGTCCTAAGAAAACACACAAGTTTCTAGTGGGAGAGTGTAAATGAAGACTGTAAGAAGAGTGGAGACAGATTCTTCTTAATGGCCAGCGAAAGAGCTAAAAGAAGTAGATGCATATTGTGGTCTGGACAATAAGGTGTTGAGGTGGACTGTGACCTGGCTGAAGGAAGGAAGCCAGAGAGTTGTGGTCACTGGGACTGAGTTTAGTTGAAGGACTATTGTGGAGTCCTTCAAGGGTTGGTTCTGGGACCAGTACTACTCAGTATATTCATGAACGACTTGGATGAGTGAGGGAATAGAATGCACTGTCAGCAAGTTTGCTGATGACATAAAACTAGGATGAGTGGCTGACAGGCCATAAAGCTGTGCTGACATTCATCAAGTCCTGGACAGGCTGGAGAATTGGACAGAGGGAAATTTAATGAAATATAGCAAGGACAAGTCGAGTCTTGCATCTGGGCAAAAAACAACCTCACGTGCCAATATAGGTTGAGTACTGAACTGTGGAGAGCAGTGTAGGGGGAAGAGAGTTGGAGGTCTTGATGGACAGCAGGATGACCATGAGCCAGCACTGTGCCCTTGTGGCCTAGAAGGCCAGTGGCATCCTTTGGTGTATTAGAAGTGGTATGGTTAGTAGGTTGAGAGGGGTTCTCCTTCCCCGCCCCTCTGCCCTGGTGAGATTGCATCTGGAGTATTGTGTCCAGTTCTGGAGCCCTCAGTTCAAGAAAGACAGGGAACTGCTTGAGAGAGTCCACCTCAGAGCCACAAAGATGATTAAGGGAGTGGAGCATCTCCCTTACAAGGAAAGGCTGAGGGAGCTGGGTCTCTTTAGCTTGGAGGAGACAGGGGAGTGACCTCATTAATGTTTATAAATAGGTGAAGGGTGAGTGTCAGGAAGATGGAGCCAGGCTCTTCTCATTGAAATCCATTGACAGGACAAGAGGCTGTCGGTGCAGTCTGGAACATAGGAGATTCCACATAAATATGAGGAAAAACTTCTTCACTATGAGGGTAACCAGAACACTGGAACAGGCTGCCCAGAGAGCTCGTGGGATCTCCTTCTCTGGAAACATTCAAAGCCCTCCTGAACATGTTCCTGTGTGACCTGATGTAGGTGTTCCTGCACAGGCAGTGGGTTGGACAAGGTGATCTTCCAGGGTTTCTTCCAATCCCTGACGTTCTGTGATTTTGTGATACTGAAATACAGAAAAACATTTCTTTATAATGCTTAAATTGTGGTGGTGTTCTTTTGTTTTGTTGTTTTCTGTTTTATTTTCTGGGAAGCCCAGAACGTTGTCCAGGAAGACTGAGGAGATTCAGTCCATAGAGATACAAAAAGCCTGACTAAATGTGTCCCCAAGTAATCTACTGTAGTTGACTTTGTTTTGATTGAGATCTGGAATATGGTTAGGTGAATTTCACAGAGCTCTTCCAACTTCAGTAACTATTATTGTCTCAAGAAATATCTGACAATAAGTTAGGCTGCTAAGCCCCAGTTAGGCTGCTAAGCCCCAGTTAGTTTGTATGTAAGGGAGTCTGTTTACTTTGGTGATTGACTTTGTCAATTGACTTTGCCTACTTGACACTTAAAAATCAGAATCTGAAAATACAGTTTTGTTATTGTTTGAACACAAGTTACCTAGTTATTCACAGACGTGCAGGAAAGCAACATAAATATCCATTTTATCCATGGATAAAAATGCGTTTCCAAAATCCTTATATGAAAAAATGTACTGATAAACGTGGGGGTGTTCAAGATGAGATGTGTGTTAACAGTAAACCAGTGTTATCTCAGTGTAACCTTGTGACTACTTTTTATTTCTGTTCACCAAGCATCAAATCAATCTTGTGATCCTACTAAACAAAATTATCTCTGAAATTTTGTACCATGAAGCTCTTGTCCTTCAGAAGTTTAGGCTAGATGAAATTGCAGATGAAATGAATCTAGTTAGTTTTAAAAAACAGGTCTTAATATATCCTCCTGTGATTCATCTAATAACTTTTGATTCCTTGCACTTTATAAACATCAGAGAAATTAGATGTTAATGGCAGATGTTGGAATGCATAATTGTATCTTTTGTGGAATATGTTGAAATGCACTCACAGCTAGTTTTAATTTTTCCTGCTCTGCATCAGTAGTTCTTCCTGTTTCTTTTCCCTATTCTATGAAGAGAGAGGAAAGACTTATCTTTGATAGCTAGAGGTTTTGCATTTTTGTTGAACAAAGCTTTACTTTCTCGATTTTTGATGTATTTTAACGTGCCTCAGTGTATGTTAACCAGCTAATAAATGTTCTATTGTATTCAAAACCAGATTCCAGAATAGAAACTGAGCAAATGTATCTGTATAAAGAAGCTGTTTTGAGCTGTGTTTGTTGAGCATAGAGTGTTAGGCAAAGAATAAATAGAAAATGGCCTGTTTTAATTTCAGCAACAGCTTAAACTTCATTATGCAGTATTTGCTTCTGAACTTCAGTCATGCTGAACTGAAATTCTGGTGATCCTGAGTGTTTAATTCTAAGTTCTGAAGTTCATATTGCTGAAGTTATACTTTTTGTGTATATGTGGCTCTTCATTCAATTTGAGTTTTCTCCTGATTGAAGAAATTCTTATTTAGTACAGTATTAGTAAATGTTTCATTTGTGAGGTTTAAGTACAAGCATGGGTGGGTAAGCATAAAACTGAAATTTTTTTTTCCACTTCATGCTTGTATTCTCCCTTTTCCCACCACTCTGAAACATGAAAAAGTTCTTCTGCTTTGTGTAGTGTAGAAATCATTGTATATAATGTTAAACTCAGGAGTATTTACTTAGCTGTTATGACAGTTCTTTTTAAGAGATTTTATACAATTCTTGAGTTTATTATTTGTTGGTTTTTGCTTATGTGGAATTTTTTGTCATGCAGAGAAAGGCGTAAGAGGAAGAGTAGAAGTCTTTCTAAGTCTCCTAAAACATCCAAAGGAACAAAAAGAAAGTCTTCACGAACTCCTTCTCCAAGAAGGTCAGTTTGATGTAAATAAACATTAGTGAGCAATAAAGAAGATACAATGTTGTATTTCAATTCAACAAAACATAAAGATCAATATTCTGGAAAAAAGGAGTCAATTTCTTCTTCTTCTTTTTTTTTTTTTTTTTTTAGTGCAAAGAGTTATCTAATAAAAAGTGGATGCAGACAATTTCTGTTGGTCAGTGTGATGCAGTTTTAATTCAAAAAAACAAACAGAACTTCAAGAACTTGAGGGATTTTAAGTGTTACACTTTGAATTGTCATCTGTCTGTCAGTGAGACAGATGTTCTCTTAAAGAGCTCTTCCTCAAGTACGGTTTAATTCACTTTTCTCTTTGCTCACACTGTGCACTCTAAACATGTGTTCCTTAGCTCTCTTCAGTCAGAAAATCCTCTTGTTCCTATGCCGCTGTTATGTTTTGGATTTATTATTTTTATTTTATTTATTTATTTATTTGTCAACTAAATGGCTTGAAGATGATCAAAACCTTTCATAGAGAAACCAGGATACCAATATTGTTAGTTACTCTTCTGTGCAGTGTACTGTGCAATACAGTTCATGTAAGCTCTGGTAGTTCATTTGCTGCTTTTGGATCATTTAATTTGAATGAAAATGTTCTTGAACAGAAACAAGAAAGAGAAAAAAAGAGAACGAGATACATATAATGAAGGAAGAGAAAGAGAACGCTCCACCTCCAAGAAAAAAAGTAGTAAAGAGAAAGAGGGAAGGGAGAAATCTGACAAAAGCACCACTACTTTGAAGGTAAGCTCTGCAATCAAGCGATTATAAATAGAGTAGAGAGCTGCAGAAGGAGTGATAACTGGAATATCCTGCTTTCTTTTTCTTTCTTTTCATTTTCCCTTTTCTCCTCAGCGAATTATTGCCTCTTGAAACAATTGAGGTTAGCTTCTGCTAGCAGGAGATGAAAGTTTTTTTCTGTGAGATGTTAGTAGGCCAACTTTTGGGTTTAAACTTTATTCGACCACTAGGAACTTGTATGTATAGTCTACAAAAACGCGGTGTTATTCTTTCTCTCTCTTTTCTGTTTGTTTCCATATTTTAAGGCTTGGTTGGTTGCCTAACTGTGGAAAGATCCAGGAAGCTGACTGTGTAGATAAGCAGTAGGCTTCTGGGACATTTTCACTCTGCAGTGCAGCCTGTCCCTGGTTGCTTTGGTCCTGAGCTGTGTGCTGAATTCTGCAAGAAGTAAAATGAAGATCTGGGGAAGAATAGTGTGGGATTTTCCCTTGCAAAATAGAAGGTGGTGTGATTAAGGAAAGAATAATCTTCAAATTATTAAACCTCTATTTTGAAAAGCAGTGTGCCCTTAAAGGGTAGCTTGTTGTACTCATAGTGATTCAGCTATTATAAGATGTCTGATGTCTATGCTATGTGACCACTTACTGAAGAACTGAAGGTAAAAGGCATGAGTTGAGTCACAAAATACATGAAACGAAAATTGTAATCTTGCTTTGTTCACAATATATGGTGAATTCTTAATGTAAGTTCCACTGTATTGTTTATTGTTTTGTGTGGATATTAGAGGTAAAGACAGATCTCTCTACCACAGTGATTTCTTCAGCAACACTTGATTATGATGCCGGACTTCAGCCACCTGAAGTTGCTGATGTATCTACTAACATTTTTTTAAATTGCTGACACTAAGTATGATGAAAAATTGAGGAAGCCAGAATAGCAGCAGTTATTTGGAAGTCATATCCCTTAATTCTGAGAGAAAGATTTTGTCTTTGACAGGACAAAGATCACGCTAAAGAGGATCAGAATTCAGAAACTGACAAAGATGTTGACAACAGAGATACACAAAGGACAGATGAAGTCAAACTTCAGCAGAATGGAAACTGTCAACCAAACGAAGATAACCTCTCAATTAAAATGGAAGAGGTTTAAAGCAAAGAATAAACCTCTGTCTCAACTAAGGAATGAAATCCAAAGCTTATTCCCAGAATGAGGAAGAAAACGTCAAAGCAATCAACCTGACCATGTTGATAGCACTAACAGCTCTTTCAATTCTTGCGATAGCTTTGTTGTCTTCTTGCTGTAAAGCAGGAAAGCACAGACCAGTAGATATACCATGCAAAAGCATATGTCATCAGAGCTATTCGTCTCTGAAACTCCATGCATTTCCATGATGGCTGTACTTATAGGTAAAATGATTTATGTTAAGTTTAGCCATAGGCTGTTAAATAGGAACTGAAAGAAGTAAACCTTTACTACCCCTAAAAAAAAAAAAAGGAAAAAAAAAAAAAAAGCTGAAGATAAACATTGAAAGTTGTTTTAAAATGTTGCTTGTTGATGAATTTTGTGTTATTTTACTTTGTGGGTTAAGAAGTCCACAGAAACTTCAGTGTGTACTTTTTTATGTGCTTGGAAGTGGTGCATAAATGTACACACTTTCTTTTGGTGTAAATGACAGCTGTTGGAAAAGTTTTTATGGTTCTTATGATATATGCCCAATGACTAGTATGTTCTTCATTTGCTCACTGCTTGAGGTTTGTGGGTTTTATTATCTAAAATAATTTCTTACCAATATCCCTAAACTCAGTATTTGCTTAAAGTATTTGAACAATGCATGCTACTTTTCTGTTCCTAAAAGGAACATTGCCATGTATGATGATAACAGGTTAGCTTATTGAGTTATTTTCAGGTTGTTTTGTTTTGTTGTTCTCTTCTGTTCCACAACTGAGCACATCTGTATATTAGGAGGACTTAACAGCTTTGTTTTTTTGACGTGTACTGCAGTATGTCTGTTCAGCTGCAAATGGTACAGGTGCCATTATGAAATTAAATTTTTTCTTACTTGTTTAAAAAATTTGAGAGCACAAGCATAAGCTTTAGTGCCTTCTTAAAATGTGGTATTTTCAAGAAATATGTATGTGCTATAACATTTTCAGCTAAATCTTGCATCATCTCTATTGCTGTTTTGCCACTACCATACTACAGACAAGAGTGCAAGTAATTTTTCAGAATGTATGTTTAGTTCACTTACTTAAGTAGAACAGGTCCATTTTTACAATTATTTTTTATTTTCAGAAAAGATAGAGTAAATGTAATGATGCATTTTGGGGACCACCACTGTACAAAGATAGTAGCTGAATACAGCGTATTTTCTGAACACCTGCATCACAGGCAGCCCTTAAGATACTAATTACATTTGGATGGCCTTAACAGTTACCTCTCCATCCTTCTCTCTGATATCCATCAGGTGTTGTACAATGAATTTAATGCAGAGCTGGGGGTGGAAAATACTTGGGGAAGAAATGTTCTAATTTACATAGGAGTTATATGTTAGATAATTTTTTTTCATTCTTTGGTGAGAAAGCATGTAAGAAGCAAATGACAAAGCCGGTATTTTTTTCAAGTAAAACCATAATTTGTGTTGTCTGAGCTAATGTAACCAGTTTCATTGTTGTGAGATTTTTTAAGAGTCATATTTACAAACTTACTTATACCTAAAATCAGGTAGATTATACACCTTATTACAATCAAATGAATTAATTGCCTTACCTCATGGAAGGAGTTTCATTCAGTTAGAAATTAAAGAAGGCTTAATAGGATACTAGCAGTTTGCCTTCAATTTCCTTTTCTTTTGCATAGTTAATTCTTATGAAAATAATTTTTAAAAAGCATAATACAGGGAACGAAAAATTTGTCCAATTCCTAAGGTAATGAAACCTAATTTGATTGTGAAGCTGCTTAATCACTTGTCATTTTTGATAGGATTTAGTGTTCTTCCCACTGTGTACATTTAAGACTATAGAAAATGCTTTACCATGTAAAGTATAGACAGTCATTTTTGTGATGTTTAAGCCACGTGCTGATGGTTGGTTAACAGCTTACTCTGATAAAAGAATGACAAATCTGTATGCTTAAAGGAAGGTTGTGAAGGATTGTGTCTTGCAGCGACAGCTGTCTTATTTATGATGTGTAAGTAGAGTAGAGCAAAGAGGTTGTTTGTGTACTTGTTATCTTTGTTACCATTTCACTAATAAAATTAAGTATTTTAGAGGGAAGTTTCTGCTGTTACAAACTTATTAAAGAAACATTTTGGTTGGTCATCAGGTTTTATTCAGGCAGCTTTTTTTTTAATTTGAAATGTGGATGCAAGTTAAAATACACCTGTATTATTTATAATATCTTGGAAAAGATAATTTACTCCTTCTCTGGGAGAAATTAAAGTGTACATAGTACATCATATTTCAGTTCATCTTAGTTTGATTTTCTTAGTTTTGTAATCCTGAATTCGCATAGTTCAGAATGTGTACATGGTTGTGCACAATTAGTGAAGAAAAATGACATGGAAAATTCATAGGTAACAATGGCAGCATTAATAGCTAATATATCATATATATGCAGCATATTAAGATAGATTTTATGTGAGTTAGTATTCCCTTTTAAAAAAGCTTTGAGAAGGGAGGGGAAAAAAAAGAATATACACCAAATACACACATTTCCTCCTCCCAGACTGTGTTTTCTTACAAATACTGTATTTTCTGTTCTGCCTTGTAGTACTTTGTAGTTCTGTGAGGATAGTTTTATCTCTTTGTATTAGGTGTTTAATGGTTCTCTTCTTTGTTTAAAAAAAAAGAAAAAAAAAAAAAAAAGCCACCATTAGATGATTAATGTTTTGTAAAACACCCATCACCACAGAGGGCAGATCATTTTTAAACCAGTACTGGAACAGTACCTCCTTGCTCTGCCACGTTTGTGTGTTTGACCTCATTAAGTGTGTCTGTCTTCTAGTGGAAGTCCATGCCTTGATCGTATTGGATTTGCATGCTGAGCTGCTGTGTCAGTAGTTTGCTTTTGCACTTCTATGAGTTGATAAAACTAAATGATGGTTTTGAGAACAGTGTAGTTTGTGGTGGCTGTATTGTTTTAGGTGTAATTTCATTTAACTTGGCCTTTGGATTCTGCCTACACATTAGTTGCCTGGTTTTTTTGTTGTTGTTTTTTTTTGTTTTGTTTTGTTTCGTTTTGTTTTTAAATGTCAATTTCAGATAGGTACAACTGAATTAGCTTTAGTTAACCAGCTGGCTAACAGCATCAACCTAGGCACAGCCTGGTTTATGTGATGAGTTGACCATTTGAGTGGTTTACTCCTCTGCTGAAGTAAATTCTGCAGTCTGTATCATGCTCTGTGTTGCTTGCAATTTGTTTGCTGGTGTTTTCCAGCCTAGGTATGTGTAAGGCAATAAATTTAATTTTGAATTCTGCTGATCTGTTTGCTAATGGTAGCTTCTCTGGTTTGCCTTCAGTTTGTAATAATTATATATAGGAATTTCTGTGATACTCTTTTGGTCTAATTAAGAGGTAAAAAAAGTAAAGGCTGCCTTGTATGACAAATTCTTACGTGCTGCATACAAGTTTCTGTTACTATTTTCAGTTACTCTTTTTAACATTATAATCACTGAAAGCAGTAATGCCCTAGTGGTATGTATATTCTTTACTCTTAAAACTGAAGCATCTCTGTATCAATCTCTTTTTGTAAGTTTGTAATGAAACACGCATTTTAATTTTGCAAGCCATTCACTTACAGGAAAAAATAAAAGACAAATCATCTTGTTTCAGTGTGAAAGTGGAATTCTGAGAGTAAAACAACTTCTAAGTACATAAGTTCAGCACAGTGAAGTATACTGCAAATTGGGGCATGTAATGCCTCCAGTTTGACACATGATGATACTTCAGGTTTTATATAAATGAATGAATTACTGTTTTTGGTGTTGTCATTATTTTAAAAGCAAGGTTTGGATGTAGTGACACAAATACTGAGAGCTGTAAGTGACTAAACTAATGTAAACCTGTAGATGATCAGTTCAGAGAGGTCTAGTTTTCTCACCAGCAGATAGAGTGTGGATAGGTGAAATTCATAGATATTCTTAATGTTATTACAACCTGAAATTTGATTTTGTTTGCTAATGTCTAAACAGGAAACTTTCCAGCCTGTATGTGAAGTTTATTTTTTATATGGTGAAAAGTGTAATTAAAGTAATACTGAAAGCATTGTATAAAAGGGATTTCTTTTGCCTAATGTCAGATAAATTCAGTTGTGTTTAATTTTAAACTCCTTGACAATGTCTCTGTATGTAGTATTTATTTTCATTTAAGATTCAGGAATGCTTCATGTATAGGTGAACCACATCATGGGATCTGAGCACATTAGTCTGGATTTTTCTCAGTAGTCGCTTCAGTGTAAAACAGCTTGAGGCAGTTGTCTGATGATACATCCGTACAGCTCTTTGCCCATGTCTGAGAGCAGTTCTCTTAAGGCTTCAGTTCTGTACTTTTTGAGTAAATTAAGCCATTGAGGATCTATTTATGAATTCCAGTTTTCAAGATGTTTTCAGAAACCAAGAACTCTACTATCAAGAAGGCCTAAGAAAAATTTGTCGTAGCTGTTTTACAATTTTTGAGATTAGTACAGGAGTACACTGAAGTAAAAATGAGATTTAGCTGTTTATTTTCTTGTGGAGAGCTGCAGTTTACACATTTGGATTCACAGCTTTTTTTTTTTTTTTTTTTTTACTATAAGATAAACAAGTGCCAAACTTGATGAAAGGCTTAAGATTGGAGTACAAAATATGTTCTGTACTAACTGGGCAAAGGAGATTTTCTCACACAGAGGTTATCTGTCTTTCTTGGTCAGAAAGACTTTTTATCAGCAGTGGAAAAAGTCATTTGTTCTTACTGTCATTCAGTCCTTGATGTTCTTAGCTGAGTTAAGTAGCTCTTATAATGCAGATATTAGTGTGCTAGGTAGCAAACTGTAACTATTCCTAAAGGATATTTTAATCTAATGACTATAGTAGTATTTTAGTTTTGAACTATTGAGAAGGTTAATACATTGATATAATAACTCAGATCTGCTTCAGCAGATCTGTTATTTACAGTAGAATTATGCAAATGTACTTTTTGTGTTCTTTGATAGTTAAATGTCAAATATATTTAGGGAGTGATAAGGGGATAAAGGTAATGACAGGAAGCAAGCAGATTTCTTAGAAGAGTAAGTTGCTGTACTAAGTAAAACTTTTAGCACAAAGATTTAAAACTGCTGCTACAGTGATGGGTACATCATGGTCTACTTAGAAGCTAGTGCTTCATATATACATAAATTTCATAATAATTTGATTAAAGGAGTGAGTGATCTGCTCTAGGAACATCAGGAGAGGAATTTAACTTGCAGAGTTAACGTAGCTTATCAGTAGGTCATTTCTGGTGTTATTCTCAGTGATACAGGAGCCATGGTAAGTTTGTTCTACACAGCATGAATCACAACCTGTGCTCAAATGTGCCTGGGTATCCTGTACACTACAGCAGCATAAATATTACTGCCCCTCCTCTAAATCAGATGTTTTGTTAGTAAAGGAGGCCTTTTAAGTTTAATAAATGTATATCCAAGCTTGTTCCGTGTTAGTAGAATATATTTTTGATTATTGAAGCAACTATGAAATGGTACTAGTAAAGAAATGTCAACTGCTGCTATTACGTTGTTATTTTTGTGAATAAACTATGTCCCAAAGCATTATTGGTGTCATAGCTCACTTTTACTAAGTACAGAGAGATATACCAAATGGCTATGAAGCAGTTCTGTCTTCTGTTTGATTTATTTGTTTTATTTATTATGTCTACATCTGGACCCAGAGACTTTAGCTCTTGGTTGGATTGAAATTGGCAGGAATATTTACTGCAGGAGTGGTGGTGAGAGGCTAAGGCCTTTCTGGAAACCCAGCCACCCCAAGGAGCAATGTTTTTTCTTCGCCACAGGAAACTGCCCAAGCAGGCAGAGTTTGTCATTTTTAAACAAATGATTAGTTGATAAACGTGGATGTACACAAGTATACATCAAAATTTGTTTAATTATGTAGAGTTAGGGTTTCACAGGATATTTTAGTATGAACAGTATATGATAATTTGCTGTCATGGGTATTTTCATACTAAAATCCACTGTTCTCAGTGCTTAAGCTTCTCTATCAAGATATAATTTGTATGGACGTGCTTCTCAGTGCATTTTAAACTTCTACTTGTTCAATAGGGATCTTGTAATTTTGAGTTACCATGTTTGTAACAAATCGTGTGGCTGGTTCAGCTCTGTCTGATCAGGTGGTGTCATCAGCTGCACTTCATCATGTTTCTCCTTTGAATGAAAATGGGAAAAAACACTTTGAGATGGCTCAGCAGTGGCTCAAAATTCTCTGTTTATTTCATCATTTCCCAAAATAATTTATTCACTGAAACAAACAAAATGAAATCAACATCATGTTTAGAGGAGAACATTGAAAATTAAGTGAAAAAGGGACAGTGCACTTGTTTTAACTGCAGGGAATGGTGGTAGCAGTACCTTGTTTTGAAAATGCAGTCCTTTGTTACTGCAAACATATGCTGTTCCTTAGTCCTGAGAGAGAAATATCCAGGAAGGTTCAAGCTCCTTAAGGCTTTTTGAGAGAATTACAGTGGTGAAACAGAAATTTTGAAGCAGGAGTATATACTGAAATTAGAAAAATAAGTGATAGTGTGTGAAGAATATCTAGAAGTTACACTGTGTTTCACTGCAGCAAAAAATTGAGTGCTGCAGCACTCACTGGAGTATGGCAGTAACTCACCACATGATAGAGGTGGGGCTTCCCACAAACCTACAAACAACACAAACTTACTTACAACCCACTAAAAACAAACAAACACACAAAGGAACATCTCCCTGCTGTTTACTGCCATGTTGTTCCTTCTCTAATACTCCAACACAGTAGCAATCTGTTAGAAAGAGATAAGCTGCATATGAGTTACAGAGCCTTTTAGCTGTGCCTGAAATAGCTTTGCTTTGACATGAAGACATGTACATTTGTTACCTGGTGCCTTGAGCCAAAACCAAGGGACTGAGGCAGATCAATGCTGAAAGCTTGCATTTTGATTGCTCGCAGCTAATTGGCTGATTAGATCTATTTTTTTTATTTATCTGTCAGTGAGGGGGAGGATAAATTCAAATGCTTGGGAGCAGGAAGATGCTTTTACATAAGCTATATTAATAGAAGTCTTACAAATCTAAACTATGTAGTCCTTAGTCTATGGGTGCCATACCAACATGCCAAAGAGATAGGAACTGTAAGGTTGGATGGCTGATGTGCCTCTGGGCAGAGGACAATGGTGCCAACGTGACAGCACCACCCGTTCATACCCAAGAGATACTGGAACTGCTGGAAGGACAGTCTATGCAAGTGTAGGCCCAGAAGGAAAATACATAGCCTGCATGAACACGAGTGCTAGGAGAAGCACAGTCTTTTGCCATCTGTTCTGGTCAACATGTTCTCTGCATCCAAACCTTCCCTCGCATTCCTTGAAGCTGGTATTAACTAAGCCAACAAACAAAACACTGCTGTTACAAAGGGTGCTGTCCTCAGAAGATGAGGTTGTATTCTGTTAGGCCTGTAACAGGCTCTCTATAGTTACTTTTTGATTTGTAGGATGAACTCATCTTTTCGTCGTATCTAGACAGCGTAAACTGAGTCACAGTATTACAAACAAAAGTGAACTGACAGTTTGCCAGTGAAATACTTGTTTTTAACGTAAGCATCATTGCAATCAAGAAACTAAATACGAAAGTATGGAAACAGGAGAGACTCTGATGCTTGAAGAAATGTATGAAATTTCTTTCTATGAATGTCATCAAGCCAATTGTATCATGGGGTTTACAAGTGCACACAGAGATGGTCCAGGTGTGGTGAATTTAAGTCTGCTACCATATCTTACATTTGCTTATTTCTCTTAGGCAAACTCCTGAGAATCTTCTTCTCAGAGTCGGACACTGCAAAAAGGTTGAATAGAAGGGTCACATAGCTTTAAACTGGTTTTGCAGAAAGGACTTGTATGCTTTTCTTTTATTGATGTCCCCAGACTTTCTATCTTATACATACATACACACTAGCAATATTAATTTATGTTGAGCTAAAGTATTCTGTAGTTTTATCATTTTTTTCCCCAAAAAAATGCTTTAGAGCATGGGTGTCCAACCTTTTGGCTTGTGTGGGCCACACTAACTGAGGTGGAATTGTCAGGGTCACATCTATGAAGGTTGCTCTGAAAGTAATGCCTCCTAATTATTTCCACGAGAACTACAGTAGATATAAAAAACACAGTAACGCTATTTAACAGAGCAAATTTTCAGCTACAATTTTTCAACAGCCATCACCATGAACTGTGCATTTTCACCAGTGATGAACAGGAACCAGCATGCCATGCTTATAATAAACAGCAGAGGTGATCCAGTGTTGCCACTGCTGGAACACACTACCCACCAGCTCACTGTGCCCACATTCAGTGTTGGACCTCAATAATGTTCACTAGTTCATGAAAGTCAGTGGGTGCCTTTTTTTTTTCTTTTGCTTGGAGGAATTCGTTGACACATCTTTGCTCCATCCACACTTCTGTGTTAGACACCATTCTGTCAGAGTGCCCCTCTGCTGCCATCTGTCACACAACAACAAAACATAATAGAATACTGTTGGGAAGGTTCAACCTATACTGCTGTACCAACAGCATCTGCCTCTGACATCGTGGGCTGACAATAAAACAAGGCATTGCTTTCTGAGCAGCCTTCATAAAATACAGAATACAGTGAGTGCGTATAAGTAACAAAACTTAATGTTTATTGTTGCTGTTGTTAAAACATATTTCAAGAAGCAACAAAGCCATGAAACTAGTGGGACGTGACCGTTCTTGTGCAACGAACGGCTCACCCTGGTGCCACGGCAATGGCCGCGGTTCTTAGTGAGCTCTCAGGGCGTTCCTCGGAGATTTGTGATGAAGTTTCACTCTTCCCGTGCTTCATCTCGAAAACAGTTGTTCCCAAACGCAGGTGCCGCCAAAACGCGGTGAGACGAACGCGGCGTGACGGCGAAGCGGGGCCGTTTCTCTGCTACAGAGGGCTTACAGAAGTCACGTTTTTACTGCACCGCCGTGCCTTCCGCCTGAAAGCTCACGTGCTTATGTACACTGAGAATCGATTCGCAAACAAACCAAGGAACCGATGACTTTTTCGGCAACCTTGAAAGGCATCCTCAAATTCCCGCATCAAAACGGAACCAGCGGCCGCGTCGTCTTCGTTGCGCGGTCAGCCAACGCAGCGCAGCGCAAGCGCGCGCCCCGCGCCGGGAGCGGCGCTGCGTGAAGGGACGGCCGAGGGGTGGCTGCGCGCGCGGGGCCGGGCGGGGCGGCTGGGCGGGCGGAGGCGCCGCCATGATGGCGCGGGGCGGGTGCGGCTGCGGGTGGCTCTGGGTGGACGCCTGAACACCTAACCTGTGACCCAGCGTAACTGGAGAAACAGAGTATGTGTTCAGTGTGCTATGGCTGTTTAGATGCGAGGAACCAGGACGTGCGGTGTCAGGAAGTTACAGTAACGTCTGTACCTGGGTAAATATCTAGGTATGTTTTATAGACACTGATAGTTACTTCTTCCTTAACACAGCTGTGACAGAACCTAAAGCATACTGACATATTATATACATACGTATGTTTTATGTCACATCTGTTCTTATCAACTTCAGTTGATCTGACTTAGCACGGGTTAATTGCAGTTCACTTTCTAATTCATTGCTGTGTTCCTGAAGAGCAGGCTTATAGGAAGTTGATGTTAGACCTGCAAATGGAAAGGTCACTGATCTTCCAGAACTATTACCTCAAGGAGCTGTTTCCAAGAGACATCGTTTGAAGTCAAGATCGGGTGCAGATACCTAGTTTTTAAAGAAGTAAACCTACACCTGTTTCAGTCCAGGTCTGAGCCTTCAAGTAACTGCGTGCCCGTTAGTTTCCACTGGTCCACGGCAGGCATGTTAAATTAGCTTTCAAAAACTACAGGCATGCAGGCACTCTCTGGAAGGGCTTAGCACTTGGCTTGACTATAGCCCTCAAAAGTCACAGCAAACACCTTCCTTTCAAGATAAAATTTAACAGGCTACGCCCGGTTATAAAGCTATATTTGCCTTGTTGTTCACTTTTTTGTTAATAACACCTCTACAGTTAATAATATATCATCTCAGCAGTTGTATGGAATGTGTAACTGTACATCTTCCTTTTGGAAGCCCTATTGGCTATCTGCAACCTGGTCTTCCCAGTAGGACAGATACAGGCATACTTCTGCAGCTTATCTCATTGTTCACTGTTTATCTAAATGGCATGGCAGTGTGAATTTTGGTCTACAGAATAAAAAAAACCTCTGTCTTGACTGTCTGTCATTTCAGAAATGTTGATCTTAAGAGAGGAAATTAGGATTATGTCAACTGTAGGAGATTTGCAGAACTATTAATAGAATAGGAGGAGAGGACTCACTGGTGTTGTTTGTTGCAGTATCAGTTTTGCAGAGACTAAGCCTCACTTCTGCCGTCCTGCTGTCTTACAAGCTGAAGGTTCATAAAAAGAAAACTTTTAAAGTTCTTTGAATTTTCATCTTCCACTTCTAATATAGGCTGTGTACTTTCAGTGTTTAATGTCTCTTTTGCTGCTTTTTATTCTGCTTACTTGCAGCTTTTTTTTTGCTCTTTCAAGTTGTGCATCTTCCTTGATTAACTGCAAAAGATATCTGGCTTGCCTAATGTCACATTTTGTAACATTGAAAAAATGTCTTTCATGAAGTAGATGATCCAACTGTAGTAAAAACATATACATTTTATTTTAATACGTATTTATATGCTGAATTTCTGATCCGTTTGAGACTCCTCCTTTTTTCTTAGTATTCCGTTACTTATAAATGTTGCACCAGAAAGGGATGCTTATGTGGCAGTAACCTTCCTAAGAATTGATGTTCCTATATTTCTAACTTAGAAATTCTCACAATTCAGCAAACTAAAAAGCTAATTTTTTGGTCAGACTAGAATCTGAATTTCTGTGGGACATTGATAGTGGTAGTACAAGGGGGAATGTTTTTAAACTGAGGGCAGAGGAGGTTTAAGTTAAATACAAATTTTGTGCTTCATGATATGGTTTAGTAGCTTGTGTTGGCAATGGTGATGAGGAGACGGTTAGACTAGATGATCTTAGAGGTCATTTCCAACCTTGTGATTCTATGATTCTATGATTAGGAGAACATTTTTCACCCAGAGAGTGGTGCCACACTGGAACAGGTTGCCCAAGGAGGTTGTGGATGCCCCATCCCTGGAGGCATTCAAGGCCAGGCTGGATGTGGCTCTGGGCAGCCTGTCCTAGTGGTTGGTGACCCTGCACATAGCAGGGGGATGAAACTAGATGATCATTGTGGTCCTTTTCAACCCAGGCCACTGTGTGATTCTATGATTCTACGATAAATTGATAAATTTGATATTGATAAATGCTGGCATTAACTTTGAATTTGTGGTTTTCAATTAAAAACCAAAGGCAATTCACCACTGAGAGAGCAAGTGCTATCAAGTAAATAAAGCAGTTATTCAAGCTGGTCTGAATCAAGGTAGTCATCTCTCTCAATGTTTATTTAAAATAAAATAATTACGTTGTGGTAGTTGAAATGGAAGTCCTTAATGGTCTGCATTGTCCTGGACTGACTCCAGTAATTCTAGTTACATCTCCAGTGTCCTGATGACTTACAAGAGGACAGAGATGCTGAGCTATCCCACGGTAGAAAAGATACTCTGAGATCTCTTTAACTGACTGGCACATTAAGCAGCTCCTGTTGTATATCTCTTGCCATTTGAGGCCTGTTCTGGTATACTATTTATTTGAGATGACCATGTCTGGTTCAAAATTATATCTGGCTGTTTACATCTCATCATTTTCCAGTGACTGGAACAGATGGGCCTTCAGTGGGCCTTCATGGCCTTGGCTTATTCCTGCTACAGTACAATTTTAGTTCTAGTATGTAGGGATTACTTTTTTTTTCTAGCAACTTGCTTTTCTAGCAATGTGCCAGTGATGTGACAGATGGCATAGGACTGCATGTGTCTATTACTTAATCCTCTTGCCCTCCAAAAAGAGTGCCTGCGTGCAAACAGCTGTGTGGAAACAGACTTTCTTCTGTTTTTCAGATAGTGACTGGAATTTTAGGGGGAGAACATTAGCTGAATTGGCCACAGATTCTACTGAAGAAACAGACTATGAAGCTTGCATGGCAGGGAGTATTTACAGGCACTGCTTATAGCACAGCTACAGTCTCACAAGTCAGCACTTCAAACTACTCGTGTCTTGCTGCCACTTGCTCTTGTCTGTGAAATTATTTTTGGAAGTCACTGTATGTCCTGAAGAATGGGAAGTGCCCAGAATGTGGCACATCCTCTGTATTTAGTGATTACTCAGTGAAATTACCTTGGATTTCTTCTCAAGTTTTCAGAGTTGTAAAACATGAAATTACCTGATTTTTGTCAGAACATCCCAGTCCTCCAAGGTCGGAATTACTCTTCAATTTATGACCACATCTGGCTAGCTATTTTAGTCTTTCAGTGTGATGGCCCACCAAACACGTAGCTGCAGGTATCATAGCAGATACCTCCTATGAATCACTAGAAATCTTCCAGCAACCATGTATTTTGAATGAATGCAAGAATTTAACATCCACTTAAGAAGAAATGGTGAATGTTGCTGTTTGCTGGGTACCTTGACTTGAACTGCTGTGAGCAAAGTTTAACATTGGCAGTTACTGTTTGTTAAAGACCAAGCTTTGGGTTCTGCAATCCATTTCCATTCTAACCATGTACCAAAAACGGGCTTCAACCTGCAGCTAAGTAGTGTATCTTCTATTCTCCAGCCTACCAAGACTTCAGTATGTCCAGTAAATACCTGAAACTGTTCCACTGCAAGTTCCCTAGCCTGTAATGGCTATTCCTGTGCCCATTCTTCCTTAAGATTTTTTTATTACCACTTCAGCAAATTCCTTAATTTCCTCCTGTAAAATTTCTGCTCTTCTCTGAGAACTGTCATGGTTTAACCCAGCAGCAGCTCAGCACTACGCAGGTGTTCACTCAGTAACCTGCAGTAGGATGAGGGAGAGAATGCTAAGCAAAATAGAACTCATGGGTTGAGTTAAAAACTATTTGCTAAGACAGAAAAGGAAAATGGAAATAAAGATGTGATTATAACTGTTAATTATATATGTATTATTTTATTATATAAATACATATATTTATTTAGGGACATGGTTTAGTGGGCAATATTGGTGGCAGGTAGATGATTGAACTAGGTGATCTTACAGGTCTTTTCCAACCTTAATGACTCTATGATTCTATTATATGTATATATATATGTATATGCCTCCACAGTGCAGTCACTCAGCACTTGCTAACCAGCACCCATTTCAGAGTACAGCAGCCTGCCTGATATCTATGCAGTATCTCACCACCCACTGACCAATGCCCAGCCAACCCCCAAGCAGCAACCACTCCTGGCCACCTCCCCTTGGCTTTCTGCACGATGTCACATGATACGGAATACCCTGTGCCAAACTCAGGCCCCTTTCCTCTGCCCCACCCTCTGCCCCCACGCCATCATGGCGGTGACTCTTCTCAGCAACAACCCAAGCGCTGCTGTGCTTTTAATGCTGTCTCAGCCGAAACTAGGACAGGATGGGTGATGTGAATGACAGTTTCTAGAACAGCAGGTTGTTTTCAGTTTTATCAGTCAAACTGGTGCTTCTGCTGTAGAAACAAAATAGACAGCAACTGTAATTTGTGCTAGGGGCAAGCTATGTTCAGAAGTGACTGACGCAAACCTCAGACTCAAAGTCCTGAGTTTTATTACCTACTGTCCTACAGAGCTCAACAGTACAGTGACTAAAACACAGTTAACATAATCCAAGCAGTGCAAACTCAGTTCTTTAAGGAAAAAAAATCATTGTGCAAGAAGAAAATAAGTAAACCAAGACCCTGCAACACATATCCCAAAGCTCAAAGCTCTGAGACAAGTATCTTGTAATTGGAAGGCTTTAATTAAATGATTTGTTACTTTACAATTTTTATAGCAGTAGCTGGAGTTGATTCAAGTCGATGGGCTTCTCCTGTACTTTGTCTTCAGAGGACTGTTCAAGTGCAGATGCCCTTGTGCTGTAAGGTGGCTTTTAAGATTGTCAGAGTATGACAAAGCTTTGGTTTTTAGCAAATTTATAACATTCGGTGGTTCCTATTATTCTATTTGACAGTTAATACAGAGGGGAAAAAAAAACACTCTGGAATATTGTGATTGCTGCAATCTGCTGTTCCAGGCTGAGTGACTTTATTTCCCATATCTGAAAAACACTGTCATGTTTTTGAGTGCTGTCTAGTTACTGATCTGATCTACCCTCAAGTGTAAAAAATATGTAAAAATGTATCTCTGTATTCATTCTATTCATACATTAAAGTATGCAAGAAAAAATTGATTTACTCTCATTACCAGAAAAAAACAGCATATTGACTTTGCTGTTTTCAGGTGCTAATTGACTCACTACTATTACTATACTCTTTTTAGTC